CCAGTATAACTATGTAGACCAATGGGCAACAAGAGCCAAAACACTGCTGGGGCCACCGAGCGGGGAACCCCTCCCCTCTACCAGTGCCCCGTCCAGTCAGTACCAGGACACCCCTGAAAGCCAGAGAGAAAGCCCCGGAGTCTTAGAGCCACCCCCCTCCACGCCAGCTCCCCACACACCCACATGTGAAAAGAGAAAAGGGAAAACAGAAAGGAGAGTCTGCATAGAAATGTTCGAAGGAGAACATAGAAGGCAGAGACAGGGAGGGAAGCCTGTTTAGGCCAGAGCTCACCCCCGCTGGAATGGTGGTGGGACATATCTAAGTTCTTAAGCTACACTGTTCATTTTTTTACACTGGATTTTTCGCACAATTTGAAAAAAACAACCAATATTATGTGCATTAGTCAGTTTAAGATATGCTGGTAGAATGATTTTAGACTTAGCTGTGGGGACCAAAGAGGAGCATTTTGACTTTTATAATGATGAGAACTATGATGTGTTTAGAAATCACTTACTTTACTTTGGAGTTAATGTTATGAATCATTTAAGGTTTTGGTTCGGAACAAGGGCTTATGGTCACATAAGGTCACTGCTAAGGTGTTAGCTTGGAGACTGTCAGAGACACCACAAGGCGTTTTCTGTATGCATTTGTATGTCACTGTTTGCCCACATGCTTAACCTTTAGCGGTATTTGAAATAGTTACATATCTTGTACACTTACACAAATACTATGTTGAAAACATTTTTAGTTTGACGAGTAGAATGATAAACACTGTTGGGAACCCTGCGAGGAATTCTTGCTCTTTAAGAACTCGTTTTTAAGTAAATACACAGAACAAGTTTCGGTTTCTGCCCAACTATTCAAACATCTGTTTGGTTAAGGTTCATGTCTATTGGAAACTAAGTTTGACAATTACATTTAAATAAATATATAGAAACATATAGAAAATACATTAAGAGACACTCAGTGTCTGTGATCATTTTGTTCTCTTATTTGTGTGTGTGTGTGTGTGTGTGTGTGTGTGTGTGTGTGTGTGTGTGTGTGTGTGTGTGTGTGTGTGTGTGTGTGTGTGTGTGTGTGGGGGGGGGGGGTTATGGAACAGTATAAACCAAAGTTTTAAACTGACGTTAGCAATCAGTTTAGTTCTGCCTAATCTGCAGGATAAACAGAGACTGGACAGTGTGCATTACATTTCCTCTGCTGTCCTTGCAGTGTGGAGGAAGCCTGTAGATAAGATAATATCAGTGAGATGAACAACAGAGCACATTGTGCTTCCTGTGTCACTGCTATGAACTCATCAAAATGTGTGTGTACTACTGTATGTGTGTGTATTATAATTTGTACACCAAACCTTATGTGGATCACTGCAAGTTTGTAATCCTTGGGAGTGAGGTCATTTTTGAAAAATTAGAAAAAACAATTGGACAGACCTTCATGCAAGAAGAAGAAAAATGTCATCAATAAGCCTAGAAAAATGTTGAAACTATAACGTGTGAAAAGTTCAAGATATCATTTAATCTAAACAATTTTTCCTGAAAAATCCCAATTTTTAAAGTCTTTGAAATACGTTTATCATGCCTTTCGCCTCCCTTTAGAACCTAAGCTCCTAAACCGCTAATAAATATAGCTGATTACTTTTTGTTTGCTAGAGCACTGACAATACAAAAAAAGCAATTCTGAATCAACCAGCTGGAGTCTGCTGAGTAACCTAACTTCACAAGATGTCTGTAGCACATGCTAACTAAGCCGCTAACATGCTCATCGATTGGTTTGATTATCTCTCAGTGTCAAGTTGCAGGGCAACCAGATTGTCAACTTGATTTGACTTAACTTGTAATTTTATTCAATGGTCTGTTGAGAGAAGAGTCCCAGAAGACTCACATCTCTTCAAAGGTCAGACAGACTAGCCAACAAGAGCTAGCTAACAATGCTAAGGCTGACTCTTCACGTGTATGGTACATGATCACCTTAAGCCAGAATAAAAATGATTTTTTTTGATTCATAGAAATGATTTCTCAATTTATTGTATTTTTGAACCATATTTTGTGCAATGTCAATAATCAGTGTTGATTTTATAAACTAAGTAGGCCTGTTGAACCATGTAGTGCTCATGAGAATATTTCATTTGAAAAAGCCTACATGTATGTGTCAATCTTTAACTTTTTGTGAACTATTTTGTTGCCAGCAAGAAAATGTATGATCAAGGTTCATATCTCGTTGACTTTATCACAACATTTTATGTTGTGAAAATTATAAACTAGGCCTATGATGACTGACACAATAAATCTAAACTGGTAGTGTGTGCAGATTGTTTTGTTTGGACACCGTTTTATGTATTAGACCTGCCTTCCATTACCACTAAACCCTGTGAGCCAGGTAAGTGGGTCTTTAAGCCCAACTTATATCCTGGCTTTGTCTGAGAGTACATTTCAAACATAACATAATTCGTGAAACGTAATGCAACCTGGTCCTACTGTAAATAGAGATAACAAGCCATATGCTCCAGGTGTGTTGGCTCGCTCTGTTGTCTAACCCCCACTGTGAATGTATGTTTACTGATGTGCCTCGGAGGAATACCACCACAAGCAAATCCAGTATCACTAAGTATAATATATAATATAACCCCTGAAAAGAAAAAATCAAATATTGTTTGTGGATCCACTGTTTGACCTCGAGGTCTGACTCTGCATGAGGACGAGTTCAGCCAACTGGCAGAAAATGAAAAGCCAGTTCACTTGACACAATTTAAATCTATATAAAATAAAGAGGATGACAGGTAGAAGCCTTTGTTGGATTTCCTTTAGACTGCTCAACATCATAGCAACTATCCACTGTACTTATTTCTGACCTATTCAAGTAAAAAAATGGGGCTGTTACCAAGCAGAGAAACCAAATCGTTCATTATAAAAATATAACCTAAGAGGCTGGCCATTGAGAGGTTGTGCTGCACAGTCCCCCTTTCCTTCCCTCCATCATGGCTCAGAAGAAGCTGTGTATAATAAACAAGGCTTGTCTGATCATTATCCAAGCAGCAAGCGGGCATTCATGCCCAACCTCACTGCAGGCTCACTGTTTAGCTGTGCTGTGCCAAATATCTGGAGATTTGTTTGCTAATTGGGTTGTTTGACTTTAGTACGATCTTTAAAAAGATAAAACGAAATTGTGAAGAAAAAAAGTGCAAGAAACAATGTGGGGAAAACATTGCAAATACAAATGACTGCCTCCGCTATATGACGAATGTTCTGAGCAAGAAAGACAGGAGACATTGAAGTCTACTTAGCCCAACACTGACAGCCTTTTCTACAAGGCATCAAAATGAAATTAGACTGAATCTGTATATTTTTGGAGTAACCATGTGATTTGGGCCACAGCTCCCTAGATGGAAAGGAGACCTAGAAAAGCGACATGGTGTTTCTGTGAAAGAATAACCCTCCAGAAAAAAAAAAAAACACATTTTAAAGACAGTAACAAAAGAATTCATTTTTTGTGCAACTGCCAGCACTCGGATTCATTAGACAGACCCACCATAATGAGCCAGCATTAGACAAAGCCCCCAATTTTCCAGTGTGTCCTCTTTCCCTTGGGAGCTGTGATCATAATGACAGTGCTGTTTGTTGCCTGGTTTCATGCTGATTCATGATCACTCAGCCAAAGGCCCCCTCTTTTTCTTTCTTTTCTCACCTCTCTCACTTAGGTGTCTGGGGAAAAAGAACATCCATTCTGCATGCAGATTATTAAGCTGCATGAGACAAGTGTCACTGGATTCATCACATTTTCTCATCAGTGTATAATTAGTGATATCGTGAGGTGACTGATTTAACTGACTTTTACACCTTATGAGATCTTCTGTCAGGAGTGAGGCAGATATATAACTATAACTGTAGAATTCTGCAAACAGTAATGTAAATTGGTAATCGGCAGGGCAGCTGTTGAGGTCAACTTGCAGTTTGCATGCCTGCTTAAAATGAAATTGCTCTCAGGTCACTTAATGCTAACACGGAACTCATGCATCATGAGGGTTTCTTGTTAATGATCAAAATCCCACAAGTCAATCTTAAAGATGACTAATGCCCTGTCACAACTGCACAACAACATCTGATCACGTACACATTCAAACAAACCCAACATGCATGCATAATGTTTTCTGTTGTTTTTCTTCTGCTGTTCTGTCCATTAGTGTTTGCTACAACGGCAGCCGTTACATCCATTTGTCTTCAGCTGAGTGAGCACTCAACAGTCACTTTACTGTTGAGTGGACCTCTCAGGTGTATTGGTTGATGTGCACTTGGATTTTTATGATAATAGACAATTATTGCTACATAACGGATTTTCTTCTTAATGTACCGTGTGCCTTTCAGTTCCTTCTCCTCTAACAGCAGTAAGGTTTGCAACCTTACTGCTTTCTAGTATCCCTGTAAACATATTATATTTACATTATTTCACATGTCAGAGCATGTAAAAATATATATTATGCTGTCATTAAAAAAAGAAACCAACTACTGACACAGACAACAGTAAATAACATGAAACTCAGTTAACCTGAGATTTTTTAATTAATCTAAAAAAAAAAAAAGGGATTACATTACAGTATATACCATAAAGGAACATAGAGGTCACATACAGGAACAATAAAAACATGTATCTCATTGAGGTTTAAACAAATCTCAGGTGTAATATGAGATTTAAAAATTGTCCAAAATAAATCAGAATTTATTACAGTTTTAAGGATTTTATTTTACTTTTAAACTTTACTTTTTTATGAAACGTCAATAAAAAATAAAGTATTCTAGCTTGTTTAATTATAAGCTGAAAATCAGGTCACCGTCATTTACTGTGGCAAAACAAACAAGTGTAAAACTTAAGATAAATACAATTTAATGGTCTATACTTCACAGGTTATTATTTTTGAATTATAGTAAGCACGTCAGAGTCACTCTCTCGTCCTATTGGCTGCAATTCTTAGCTACAGGCTCGTGATTGGCTGTCGTCGTAAGTTCAGAGGTTAGCCTGCTATGTAGCATCTAGCCAGAGAGAGAGGGGTGTGTGTTGTTTGCAGATATTTGCCACATTGTGAGTAAATTTAATAACTTTGTCTAATGTGACACTCGGTATAACATATAACCTGCAGAAGGTGTTGTTGCTAAATCTGTTTGACCTCTTACGTACAGTTTTTGCGAATGCTTCTACCGCTGACTTGCTAATGTTAGCTGAGCAGTCACCCAGCTGTATGTTATAAGTGTCCCCCCCACTGATGGTATATACTGAGTCAAAAACTGACCTTTGAGAAACAGCCAGCTGAAGGACGATTTAAAATGGGCTCTGTTAGAGTAATGGCATCAACCAGACTCCTGTGTTTGTTCAACACGAAAGCAGCATGTTCGGCCAAAACATTATCCAGGGCAAGCAGGAGTGTGTGCTTCAAGAGACATGTGTGCAGCTCACCTTCAAGATTGCAGGGCTGCATGTCAGCCTGGGTCATTGATCAGTATGGTACTAATGAGGTTTTGAGGTACACAGAGGATCTCACCGCTCCTTCTGTCAATGCTGCCTCTGAAGTGATGATTAAAGTTCATTCAGCCAGTCTCAACCCTCTTGATGTTTCTATGAGAGGTGAGTTTCTCCTCATTGTCACATCGTGTGTATCATCCTCTTTTTCCTCACACACACACACACACACCTCTGTTGGTTGTCTTTTTTTTTTTATTTTCAGGAGGATATGGAGCTAAATTGCTCAGACTAAGAAGGGATCCCATGTCTGTGATGGACAGTGATCGTGAGTTTCCTTTGGTCCTGGGCCGGGATGTGTCTGGTGTTGTGGTGGATTGTGGATCAGAGGTGACCCACTTTGTTCCAGGAGATGAGGTAGGAGCTGCACTGCACACCTGTGTTTCTAGAGGTGTAATGTTACTGTTTGAGTGGACAATAAGGACACAATCTTATATGGGAGTTTATTATTATTATTATTATTTTTTAAGATTTATTTTTTAATGTAGAGATAGGACAGTGGACAGAAATGGAAATCAGGGAGAGAGAGAGAGAGAGAGAGTGGGGATTGACATGCGGGAAAGAAGCCACAGGCTGGATTTGAACCCGGGCTGCCCGCGTTGAGGACTACAGCCTCCATACATGGGACGCAGCGCTCTAACCACTGCGCCACCAGCGCCCCCGGGATTTTGTTTGTTTTAATACAGTTTATTATCTGGAAGAAAAAAAACACATGTATGGGTGTGTTGATACACACCCATACATGTGTTTTGTGATTATTCAAGGAAATGGAACAATCAAAAAAAAGCAGACAGTCCTGAAAAGCCAGCATTGTCACGAATCAGATTAATCAATCAATCAACCAATCATCATTTGTACAGTGCCAATTCGTAAGTAATATGTGGAGACGGATCAGATGAGCAAAGTTGTTAACTTCAACCCAGAGGTGTTACAAGATGATTGGCAAAAATTACTTATTCACATGTAATTCTTGTGAATAATTCTGACATCTTTTGCACAGAAAACCGTGAAGTATTAAACAGATTGGAGACATCTGTAGACTAGATGTCTCAAGTAAATTTGTCCTAGTTTTAAGAAGTCATAAGCCAAGTGAATTAGGAAGCATTATTCACACACGCACCCAAAAAATGCAAAAAGAAAAAGTAACTATAGTTTCAAAGTCAAGGTAAATTTGTTGGTTAACTAATTTTAGTTTCTTAGTTTAAATTAAAATTTTGTCCAACCCTATCTCACTGAACTTCATTGGCAGGTCATCGTCTGTCGTTCTCCTGGATGAAAGCTCTTTCTGCTTGTTCATCACATGATTTTGAATCATCTACTGCTGCTGTTTCAAACTTCACTGTCTCTCTGCTGCCATTATGAGGATTCTGCTTAAATGTGAAAGAAATGTCCACTGACAGTACTCTGGTGGTGACCTCTTTCCAACCGTGTAAAAAAACATCTCTGGATATGGCTGATGACGAGTAGGGGAACGGATTAGAGCTTAACCGCTGATTAACCAGATTCAGAGACGAAGTGAGTCGCGTTCGGCGTGCTAAATGTCATGTTCGTGTTCCAGGTGTGGGCTGCTGTTCCCCCGTGGAAACCAGGCAGCCTGTCTGAATATGTGGTTCTGACCGAGTATGAGGTGAGCTTTAATGTTGGAGGAGTGTCTACTAAAAATTCTAACTATAATTTGACTTTCCTGTTAATTATCCAAACTGATTTACAGTAGAGTCACATCACATCCCTGTTCAATAAAGGATTTTTAATACAACATCAGAGTGCCTCAGACTTGCAGTTTGGACTGCCTTTCCCCACTTCAAACATTGTTTGTCATCAGGACAGTCAATTATTTTATTAGCTATTTGACTTTTGTCCCCTCTTCTTGACGAGCACCTGATTCCTCTACATTTTTTTTAATTTTTTTTTTTAATCCTAATTTAGAGAGTCTTTTAGAAAGTCATGAAGAAGTGCACCCAGTTATGTAATCCTGCGGTGTAAGAAGTATTTAGGATTATGTTTGTTTGGTTGCAGAAGCCACTGAGGCGGCAATTTTCAGACACGCAAATTGCCCTGTTTTCCTGCAATACTGTACATAATTTATTCAGCAACCCCAAGCTTGTGATGAGACTGAACTTTTGAATTGATAATTAAAAAGATTGTTGAGATATTTCTATCTTTTGACATTGTCTTTGTGCTTGTCTGTGCAGGTTTCTCTCAAGCCAAAGTCCCTGAGTCACACAGAAGCAGCATCCATCCCCTATGTAGCCAACACGGCTCTGTCTGCACTTGTTAATGCCGGTGGTCTTTGCAAGGACAGCGCTTCAAATAAAAGGCAAGCACCAGCCTGATCATGGATAACGTTGCAATGAACCCCTCTACCTCCCTCTACTTTTATACCAAGAATAAAAAAGTACGAGTCTAGAATATAAGAAGTCCCTGCTTTTCAAACATTGAGTTTTGTCTTTAGTTGAGACTTTCTTGCCACCCTTTTCCCGTGTAATCAATTTAGTCGGGCAGACCTTTCATTTGATGACTCACGGTTTTCCTCATTCACTTTAGCTGGTCTCCCATTTCATCCTAATTGGCATCAAACTGTTTTTTAAATCGTGTTTTAACACATTGTCCGTTAAAATGGAGCCTCATGTGGAGGAGATGTCACACCATGTTGAATGTAATAGCTTCCTATCCTTCTAAAACCCCCTCTTACCCCCCGAGGCTTCCACTTCTTTCACTAGCTTCACTTCAGTAAATCACACAGTAATTGAATGACCCTGGGCTTGCTGGGGTTTCTTCTCCTAGAGTTTTGATCACTGGAGGATCGGGAGGTATCGGAACATTCTCCATCCAGGTAAGGCAAAGGGCGTTCTGCAGAATGCGTCGGTGTGTATGTTCCAGTCTTTTCAACTCAGGCTGAACGGTGAATATTTCTGTTTTCTCTCTCTCTGTGTGTGTGTGTGTGTGTGTGTGTGCTGCCAGTTATTAAAAGCCTGGGGTGCCCATGTAACGGTTACCTGCTCCCAGAACGCCGAAGGCCTTGTTAGGGGGTTGGGGGCCGATGAGGTGGTGGACTACACGGCAGAAGATGCGACGGAGCAGCTGGAAACGATGGAGAAGTATGTGTGTTGCTGCGAAAACAGAATGCTTTTATAAGTAATAATAAGAGTAACACACTTTTTTATTTTTGTATAGCGCCTTTCAGTTACAGGGAGGATGGTTCAAAGTGCTTCAGAATAAAAGGAAATTTCAACAGAACAGATTAAGCAAGTATTGTGTAAGAGTGGGTTAAAATATCGAATAAGCAACGTGATATAATAATCCGATCACTGGTCACAAATGTTGGTATTTTAATTAAAAAAAACATGAGGCAGTGTATGCCGGTTTCCCTGCTAATTTGGCTTGCTGCTTCACTACTTCATGAGTCGAGGCTTATGTCATGGGTGAGGTTAATGTGAGTGGCAGTTAATTGGCCAAAGAACGCTTTGAGGTCAGGATAAAAGAAGAAGACGGTAGGATAATGGCCGACAGTGGTGAAGAGAGGAAGCGGGATGAGAGGAGGAACGGAGAACAACTTGCAGTGACCATAAACACTTATCCTTCATAGGCTTTTTATATTCTTCCTTTAATCCAATAATGTAATGTATAAGTAAATGATTGTCTAGAGAGACAGAGAATTGCTGTATCATGATTTTATCATGGTTGAGTTTCGACTCAGCATCATTTCCAGTCAGCACCGGTCAGAATAGAGATGCTAAAGAAAATGGATCGCCAACATCTTGGAGAATGTCCTGCTTCTCTGCTTTTAGCACACACCGCAATTTGGTCAACATCCTCCTGCCAGCACAACACAACTACTCACTGGCTTGCTTTCCAGTTCCCATGGAAACCAGGACTCAAGACTATGAGTGGACACTGGTTGAAAGCACAGAACCTAGCTCAAGCTTAAAGTAACAACAATTGAGATGTTTGAGACGCATGTTATGACTTACTAACATTTTCTCATTTAATTATGTTCAGAGATGTTTTGTGTGTGTGTGTGTGTTGAATTAGTTTATTTTGTGTGTTGGGTTTTTTGTTAGAAGTAAGGAGTGATTACTGATCAGTTATCTGCTTTGTTCACCTATCAGTGTTATTGTGCTGTGAATTCAGCAGAGTGTAATCTGCCATACAGAGACAGATTCACCTACATGTCTAACCTTAATCACAATGCACTCTGCATAACAATCCAGCCCCAGAATGTCTTCTGTAGTGGAGAGCATTAGGCTCACAGTTTGCTCTGTCTGTGCCCTAAACCCCCCACCTGGAATGATGCTGTCACACATCTTTTCAGCTTTTCTCTTCTCCCCAAAGTGTCTTTCTAAGTTTGTTTTTTTGCGCCCTCAGGTTTGACGTGATTTTGGACAACGTGGGCGGGGAAACAGAGGAGTGGGCGATGGGCCTGCTCAAGCCCTGGTCTGGAGCAAAATACGTCACACTGGTGTCACCTTTACTCCTCAGCACCGATTCCATGGGCCTGCTGGACGGGGCGTTTCGGGCTGGATTCACCCTGCACAACAAAGCCGTACAAGTAAAGAAAAAACAAAACAAAAAAACGTTCACGTTCTCCCCTGAATCACACACAGCTGATGTGAAAGTTTATCCTGACGTTTTTTGTGGTCTGACATTCACATCCACTCGCCTCGCAAACACAACCCTTAGTGCCCTGTTGTTTATTTTTATAGAATTCTTTGAGCTTGGCATTTTTTTCATAAAGCCATTGGCGCTTGGGTGTGGGCCACGGGTGCTCCCAAACTGACACGAATACTCGATCACCAGTGGCATGGAAAGACAGCTTTGTGTATTTGGTAAACACCTGTTCCAGCCAGTAGAAGGTTTTGCTTTATTTACGCTTAGATGATCAGGATCAAGTTTGGTAATACATTTTTTTTTTTTTAAAAGGGAGGAAAGTCATGTTAAAACTTGAATTAGCTTCACAGCGAATTCACCCTCTGAAAAAGGTGAATGCTTGACTTGTAGAAATAAACCTGCAGGGTGTCATAAATCTGCCTGTGTGCAGGTGTAGAGGGGATTCTTGCATTTAGAGTTTGAGTCCCTGCATGTGCGTACGCCTCGTGTCATTGCATGTACACAGTGTCCCTACAGCTGCTCTGTTAGTGGAGTGAATGTGTAATGAGGGTAGTGGGTGAATAGGCGCGGACAGGGTGGAGCTGCACGAGGGACTGAGTCAAGTTGTCCTGGGCATTGCAGGCGTTGGTGTCTGCACGGCTGGCAGTGTTGGGAGTTATGCGAGTGTGCGTGTGTGTGTGTTTACAGCTGAACCAGCAGTATTTCGTGCAGAATTTATCTGCCCCCCCCCCCCCCCCCCCCCCGGCAAATACCAGTGTTTGTGTGTTTCTTGACAAGCCTCTGGGCCCCTTTGTCTGCGGGGTAGCCAGCTGGTCAGTTTGGCGGGGCTCGGCTGCAGCAGGCACACCCTCAGAGCACCCGTCCAGCTCTGGACTGCTCGTTCACATCGCCTCGTCATCTAGGGGGAGCACAGCGCAACTGAGCCCTCTAGTGGTCAACCTGTTGGTAGCATTGAGTGATCAGGGAGAAACTGTGTCATAAGATGATGTTTTTTTCTTCTTCTAAAGCAAGCAGGGATAGGGACAGATTTACCAAAGGCTAAGGAGGTGTGGCAAAGTGAAGACACACAATGATTTATCATTTATCACATTGTCAGATAAGAACATAGATAAGTTCCCTTCAGTCTCACTTTCTGTTCACAGTCACAGATGCTTCTTTTAGTACCTTTATTGGTATTGTGTGTTTTTAAAATTGGTAAACAAAATACCTTGTAGATATGTAAATATAAAACACACAATAGGGTTGCCTGGTAACAATACCAGACTTTAAACTTCCATACAGGAATAGCAAAACTGAAATGATAGCGACACCTGTTTCAATACCCCAGCAATAAATATAGAAGACCTAGGAATCCAATATTTGGTCATTTCTTGATTTTAATACCAAAAAATGCAAGCGAACTCCTGCAAAACATATTTGTGCTATTTAGTCAGAGCTCTCTCTCTCTCTCTCTCTCTCTCACTCACTCTTTCTCACAGCATCTCTTACTTAAAAATAGGACTTTTTGTTTTTCTTTAAAGCTTATCACTTAGCACTTATCAACAAATCGATCATTAGCATATTGGAGACTGAATAGTTTAAAAAAAACATGTGCTATCAAAGTATCTAACATTTTGACAACCTTAGCACTCAAAAGTAGTTAATTGTAGATAATGCATGATGGGAATTAGAATTACCAGAATGGAAAAACTCAGCACGAGTCAGTTTCATATTTAAAGTCGTCGTTAAAGTCTTTACTGCTGAACCGGATAGTTTTAAAGTCTGTCAGTCAGTTTTTATTTAATGTTTCTGTCAATTAAAGACGTGAATAGCCGTCTGTCAAATTACATTATGGCTACATTTCTGATTTGGTATCAATATATTTTCTTCAATGCAATCAATAAAACTAGTTGTCACACAAGTTACTGTGATGGTAAACTGTCTCAACTTCAGCATCAACAATGTCTGTTCTGGTGTTTTTTCATAGCTTGGTTAGTTTTTGTAAATCTGTGTTTAAAAAAAAATAATAATCTAATCCTGATAATGATTTGCTTTTTAGAATTGTTTTTAATGAGAGTTTTGTACCCTTACTTTTTCTTGTTTTCTACCCACTCCCTAAGTTCTTTCCCACCCAGTAGATTCAGACCTGCCTGATTTCTAAATGTTGTCTACTCTCTGCTCTTTCTTCTCAGAACATAATATCCAGTGGAGTCTTCTACAGGTGGGGGTTTTATACTCCAGATGGACCCGCGCTGGACGAGATCAGCAAGCTGGTGGATGCAGGGAAGGTACTGCACAGCCTCATTGAGTGTGTCATACATGTACGTGTGCTTCAGATGGATTTACATAAGGACTGAGTGGAAAATGGAAATCCTCTCATTTGCATACCAGTCATGGCCTGCAAGTGTAATTGATGGAGGCACAGAGATCATGCATGCTGTATAATTTTCATGCCTCCCTCATCGAATATGAACATACTGTAGCAGGCATTCCAAACATTCCTGTAATCCATGCTCTCCGGTGGCTTTGTTCAGTTGAGGGCATCACATTGCCGCTGTTCTGGTTGATGTGTGTTTCCATGATTGAGTCAGGCGCCAAAGATAGTGGAGATAGTGGCATTTTTTTTTTAAACAGTGCTGAGCAGCCATTCGTCCCTTTTGTCCCGGGGCTTACAGGGAGCAGCACACTCAGACCAGTGGCGGGAAGCTACTGACACACTCAGCCTGCACAAAACACACACACACACACACGTTCTCTGCATGTCCTATTCTCAGCCAGAGAGGTGTGGATGCTTTCCAGTGTAACGCCCCTGCGTTCCCCGTTCATTGTTACCGACAAGAGATGCTGACCAGAATAACAAGCCTGGCTGCTGCTGGGGTTGTGGGACCAGCACAGGATTGTCCAGCCTCATCACATTCTGAACCCCGCCCTCACTTTGTCACATTCAATGCTATGGAAACAGAGATGATGTAGCCCTAGCTGTTTGTAGGTATTTGTTTGACCTATTAGAATAAAATATGGTGGCTATAATCTATTGTTGGAAGAAGCACCTCTATACAGATTAGATCTGGGTCCAGGGTATTGGAGAGAATGTAGCAGATCTGCAACTAATTAATGAATTATTCGACCTTTCAATAACTAAAAAAACAATTTCCAGCTATTTAAAAATGCATTCATCATATTTGTCACATGTCTTTAATGTAGCTATTTGTTTTCTGTGATTTAAAGCACTAAATGCATGGAGTTTATTCTTTCAGCACAATTTATATGGCATATATTGTCATAGAAAAGTAACTGTTTTTGCTTCACATTTTAAAGCATCAACACTAATTCTATTAAAGCAGTCTGTGCAAATCCCCAACACATTACAAAAGGCCTTTATTCCTTTGTGCGATGTGCCGACGGTTCAAATCTGATCTCTTGCTTTCCCTTTCCTGATTTAAGCTTATGATATTCTCCCGCTGCTTCGTCACAGATCCTGCCGGTTGTGGAGGCCCAGTTTCCATTCACCCAGGTGCCCCAGGCTTTTCAGAAGCTGGAGGAGGGCCACGCCAGAGGGAAGACAGTCGTCCGGGTGGCCGAAGAGGACGACAGGCAGGCTGAGGAGTTGGTGCAGAACTCTCCCTGTGGGACCGCAGAGTCAGAGCAGGGAGTGCAAGAGAGTGCCAAACACAACTAGAGACGATCAGCAAAGCACCAAGAGAATTGAAATGTTTGTGATTCTCCTCACCTCTACAAGGCTGCTGCAGACTGTATTATTCAAAGGGATCAGAGGGGGCTTCTGGTGTGCCGCGGAACACAAGCGTGAACTGCGCTTATAATGTGTTGTTTCTGTAAAAGCGTTGTGTGCTGTTCTGACAGCTTTACCAGGTGCTTGAGTTATGATGATTCCATGTAACGGTTATTTATCAACTGCACTATAAAAAATACCAAACCGGTCAGAATCCAGCTGGTATAGTAATCCCATTTAGGATTTTAGAATACTTTCTGATTGGTGCGATCTATCAAACATATAGTTCCTATTGAATTATTACACAAGTCCTTTTCACACATGCACTCCTGTACATTTCTAGAAAACTGCCCCCTTTCACACATGTGCTTCACAGTGGGAGATTTCCCCCTGTGGACGGGACCTGCTTTGTTCCCATATCAGCTAACCCCAAAGGGTAGATTTTTACTAGCTGATTAGCAGGACAATTCTGTATGAAGTCCAGGTGAAAAATGTGGTCGTTTGCGCTCACAAATGCAGCCCAAACCCTAAAAATGTCAGGAGTTTTGTGCGTGTGTGAAAAGGGCTAGAGTCAGCTCTTTTACCCTGCAGTGCCATGCAGCTAAGAAGTCAGCTCATTGTTAGCATTATCTTACATTGCGATGCTTTTGGAGTGAGCAAGTGAGTGAGCAGAGAAAAAACAAAAGTGTGTACAGGGTGTAAAAAACAAAGGGCACCTAAGTCTACTGTGCAATCTATTTAAGAGATTTATTGACAAAAATACTTTTATTATTCTGAAAACAGAGGAATCGTGTGCTGTCTAGTTTTTGATTAAACAAAAGGAAAAAAAAACATGTTTCAAGAGACACTTTTTTTGCATCGTCGTGTTGCATGCAGCTCGAGAGTAATATAGAGTAATATATATATAATACAAATATATGAAAAAGTGTTAACACTGTTCAAGTAAATTAACATCAGGCAAACAGATTTTAAAATGTCAAAACTAAAACTCAGTACACATTTTCCTAGTAAAGTGTAAAATATGAGGTTTTTAAAATCAGATTTCACTCTTCGTACGTTTGGTTGATTGCTTGACATTCTTACAGATGTATCACCGCTCTCTTTATTGATCCCCCATTGGAGATGTTTTTTTTGTTTTTTTTGTCCTCCTGCAGCAGAGGTCGATCATCTCCACGGCCGTGCGTCGTCCTTTAGCAGCTGCGTTACAGAGCATGCCGTAGATGTGTGCCTCTTGTAGTGTTTGGGTTCCAGTTCAGCAGCGAAATATGAGTTCATATAATCTCCACGTCCCACCTTTGATGCAGTTTATGAGGATCGATTTTGTTGAGAATCACTTGGTTTTTGTCGTAGTTATGACCCCCTGGAACAGACATCATTTCTCATTAATTCTTCTTGGATCAAATTCTGGGTTGTCACATATTTTTTTTTAAATGTATTTTATGTTCTGCAGTATGACTGAGTATTCCTTAATAATACAAATTATATGAATATAAGTATGAGCATTAGAAAACAAGGTATTTTAAACATTACAAGGTTTGTTTTGAATAGTCAGTAAATGGTAATATTTACAACATTCAGTCTTTGATATATCTGTTCCAGAAATGTGAAGATGAAAGGTGATTTCAAGTGTTGAAGAGTAGTAAATGAGTTTATATGCTAACATATTTTAGTCCACAAGGTGTCACTAATTGACAGAGATGCAGCCAGGCCCACACACAGCATATAAGTGCTTTAAGGGGATTACTCCTACAGTTCTGTTAGTACAACTGTCTTGGTTTGAATAATGGTGAAACATGTTTTTACATAAGTGTATTCATAGGTAGCAGTCATATAGAAATACGTATGCATATTTCTTAAATGTCCTTGTGTTTGCAGACGGTTTAACTTCTCAGTCTGAGAGACACTAAAGTGTTTTACAACTTAAATTTCTCCACTGTGATCATCACCACGTTTAAACACTTGAATCCCCCTGTGGTAAACTCATCCCAGTTCATTCTCCTGATTAAATCTACAATCCAACGTCCTCTACAAAAATGATGAATAGTCTAAGGTTTGAAACACAAATGACGATGCTATGCTTTGCCATGTATGCCTGCTCACCTTTGACCTCCAGGACCAGATCAGAGGTTGGAGTGTAGCGGATGAAGCCCTCAGGTGTGATGCTCCAGAGGTGGTTTTGTGGCTCTGGGTTGAGACCTACTCGGCTTCCTGCCATCGTGACACTTCCACTGGGGCTCAGGCAGCACTCCTCCAGCATCTGAACACACAGGTAGGGAAGGAGATCACTGTAAGTATTACACTGAACATGGGAGTTGAAACACGATCAATGGAGCAGTGATTCATAAGATAAGAAAGGTGTGTGCTTTTTAAAAGACTTTGGTAAACGAAGACCGGCTGAGGTTAGGCTTCTTTGTGCAAAAAATCGTTTATATCACAAAACTCCTTTTTATAATTCTGTTCTACAGGCATACATGGGCGTTATGAAATACATCTTCAAATTCAGTTTTCTCCTACAGTGAAAAACTAAGTTTGCACACAAAAAAAATAAATACACATAGATGGCCTTGGGTTCAGCTGCTTAAATGGAGCTTTGGAGCCTGACTGATAAATCGGCCGATCTGAGCACATCCAGTGACTATCGGCCAATTTTATCACACATATGTTCCGATATTACTATATTTATTCACCAGTCAAATAGCATTTCATTTGCCTATCACTATTACACTGGCAGCTCTCTTTCTGGCTTTCAAAACCGAGGATTACAACAAGCACTATTGTAATGGAAATATTTTCCCAGTGAGAATATGAACAAAGACCAAAACCCCAATCATCTTTGTACAGTTTCTCCTTCCTGCAACTTCTTGTAGGAATAAAACCTCACAGTGTATCATGGTGACCACACTGCAGAGAAGCTCAAATGACATACAGAATGATGTCTGCTTTTAAACATGTCAAGGAGGAAACAACAATATTGACAAGCTCCTGTTGTAGGAGACAAGCAGTTTAACACAATCTGTGGTGATTGGACATTTCTGTGTATCTTTCCTTGTTTGGTGCTTGTGTTTTTTTCTTTTCTTTCAGAGGCTGGGTGTGGCTTATTGGCTGCTGGAGCTCTCTAAACCTAAAACAACCTAAAACAGTATTCATTTAAATGTCACACAGTTCATAACAGAATTATTTTCACACATCTGCTAAATACATTTTTTTTACCATTACATTATCACTCTCCAGGGTGTCAAGCGATGACGCACGTACATGCAGAGTTACTCTCCAGTTGAGTGACCATCTTGTCTTCATTATACTGTACATCTTTTCCACGTTTTCAAGGGTTAATTGCATTTGAGGGATCAACGCAATGAATGTATCTATCTATCTCTATAGATCTAACTTACCGAAGATCGGAGAAAGATATCGGCCGATATATCGGTATCGGATTCTTTGTCTACCAAATATCGATATTGGTCACAAAATCCATATCGGTCAGGTCCCTAGTTTTTGTTAACTGTCATGCAGCAGTAGAGGCTTTTATAACACACAGGTGAAGAAAGATCAATCATTTTGTTGTCGGTTTGTATGAGAAGCAGATTTGACCATTTTAGAATTGTGTATATTGCATTTATATTTGAAAACCAAAGGCTGTGTATTAAAGTCCACATCAGAACGATGTTGCCTTGATGTGTTTGGCGGTTTAAGGAAGTGTCTTGGGATTGGACAAGAAGATGTTAAATGTTTGTAAAAAATAAAATAAAATGCAAATGAAGCTTCTTTCATAAAACTTTTGACACACTGTACAGAAGTAGAACGTTTGTTCGGGTACCTTGCAGTGAAGATGTCCGTTCTGATAGAGCCAGATCTGCTCGAACCCGTCTGTCTCCTCTGTTTCTTGGATCCGCATCAGTTTGACATCATCCAAATTTCCGGAGAGCGACATCATGAGCCTTGTCTGTCTGTTTCTTATTCGGAAGTGCACTTGTTTCTGCTCACAGAACACACAGAACACACAGAGCCAAACACACACAGGATCAGCACTTAGTGAATTACAAGGTAAGGAGAGTTCTCTGACCAAAAAAAAATAAGATCTTAAAGACTTTGGCAACACTGAAATCATTTTATAAGGCAGCTGTATTCATGCTCAAACCAAGCTGCCTCGCTAAATGTTAACTAAGGTAACAATTATATTATTAAGAGATGTATGAGAGCGTAGCGAAGATGTCTCACACTGGGACTTCATCAGTTGAATTCTCTGATTTTTACTTCAATCTTTCCTAATTCTCCATCAGCCTATTAAACCTTAATTACACCTTGGGTGAATAGAATATCTGCAGCTGAAATGACGTTCTTTTACAACGCCAGAAAGTAGGCTGTCAATGTGGAGCTTTAAACTCTATCCATCAAATAAGAGCTGAAGTTTTTTTTGCTCATGTTTTAAGACAAAGCAACTCGACACAGCTGTTTAACTGATGGAAGGTCGTTAGGAGTGTAAAAGAAATACTTCAGCCACTTTGGCCTCTCCATTTACTAATGCAGGGAACTGAAAGCGTTGTATCCATCATAGAGAGTCAGCATGTACCTGAAGAAGAGGGCGGAGGGAGCCAATTTTCCTCCAGTTGCTGAACTGATGCCAGTCAGGGATCTCACCAGGTTTCAGCAAAATCTGAGCGCCCCGATAGTTGATTTCCTCATACAACACCCACCTGGATAAGGCGAAATGAAAAGACACGGTCATGATTTATATCCTTACCTGACCTTTACAATGAAATAAGACGTACAGAATATTTACTGAACTTGTCTTTATTAGCATTTTGACTAGCCTGAGTAGCATGCTCAAGGTAATTACTTACGTTATATTGTTTTTTTCTTTAATGGAGAATTAGGGCTGATATGAAAAACTAAGTTTATTAGAATATTTTTGGAATCTTTATTGGTGAGACAGGACAGTGGACAGCCGAAAATCAGTGGGGGAGAAGGTGGGGAACGACATGCTGGAAAGGGGCCTAGAGTCAGACCCTAACCTAGGCTGCCCATCCGGAGGACTGCAGCATCTGCGTGTTGCACCAACAATCACGCCCCCCCCCCCCGATGCTGGTTTCTGCATTTGGAAAGCTGATAAAAGCTAAATAAAGGTAAACAATCCAATAAATTGTAATGCAGGTCTTGCTTTGAGTAAGACCAGGCTGTCTAACTTGTGGCGCTGGGAGGAACAATGTCTGCTTCTGACTTGTGGTTGTATTTTTCAATCCTCTCTCTCCCCTGCAGCACTGTGCCTGATTCAATCATTTCGAAATGTGCTGAGCTTCTACCCTCCCAATTTCGCTGCGACACTGAACGCTGCTTTTAGCTCGACGACTCGGCTCTCTGGCTGTTCGCCCGTCTCCCCTGCTGCAGGAATGTGCCACTCCAGAGACAGTTCTGGCTCACTGTGAGCCCTTTATTTCCTCAGCATGGGCTCACACCTACAGTCTAAATCTCATACATCAGCAGCAGGTTTCCATCATCGCTCACTCTGTCAGTCTTCTCAAAGAAGATGTGCAGACTTTGCAATCTGTATTTGAATCTATGAAACATCATGTCTGAGCTTACAGGCGAAAAAACTGCCAGTTCAGCAGACTCAAACAAGATTATCTCCGCAGAAACATCTTCACATTCTCTCAACACCAAACATGCATGAATACTTTTAAAAAAAAGATGTCAAATAACCTCCTCCTGTTGAAAAGAACACAAAGCTCATATTTAAGACACAACACCTCCACTCTGCTTCTTTTTGCTTTGCTTAGTCTGAGGAGATTGATCACTTCTGAGTTATTGCTGCCTGTTAGGAACTAGAAGCCAGAATGCTTAAAAGATATTTAACACATTAATATTGATGAGTTTAAATTCAAAAGAGTTAAAAAAACTTCAGGGAACTAAATGAGCTCTGTTTTGTTGAATGCTTTTGACTGCCAAGTGTGTTCTCTTCCCAGCACAAGCAAACTGTTACACATGAACCTGTCAAACTCACACCACGAGGAGAACTTGGTGGACAGCAGCTTTACATCACAGCGAGTAACCACGCAGCAGCTGGATCGTACTCACATGCCTCCTTCCACTAACACGGACTGGACTCTGCTGCAACCTGCATCCAGCTGAAGGTTGACCGACCCATCTGTCAGCACCACTCTCTTCCCACGCAGACCAACCCGCTCGAAAACAGTGACGGCAGGCAGCGAGAACTCCTGCCAGGAGGACAAAGAGAAAGAGAAGGAGAGAGATTATTATGTAAGTGGAGTGAGTGAAGGGCTAAGGTCCTGCTGGATGAATTCAAAGTAACTTTGGGGTTACCCAGGAAACACAGCGCATGCTCGCCTCAGGGATCACTGTGACTGATAGGTTCTTCTTTAAAATGTATGTAAAGCACTCTGAAGCTGCCAGTGTGTGAAATGTGGAGCTAAATCTGCCACCTTGTTTAAAAGAGTGGAGGCTGTTAAGTCGGATAAAGTCGCAGGTAGCTCACATATTGAAATGGTGTTGCAATATATGTTGCTATATCTTTGACTTTCACAATTTAGAGCCCAAATGATGTTTAAGTTGGTTATTGTAGTCACGTCAAAATGTTAGCCCAGACATACAAAGTGATAACTTTTACATTCAACTTGATATTTTTGACCGCCCTGGGGAAGTGAAAACACAACTCTGACAATTATTACAGCTTTAAAGCCTTCATGGCAACATTATTCACAAACAGTAGCCTTTTGACTCTTCCAGCAGACATGCGTCAACATTATCTGCCACTTGGAGTCACGATTCTGACCACCTGCAAAATTAATTTGGCCCTATTTTACGTGTGACAACTCCTGAGGACACAATTAAGCTCTTCAGCTAATGAGGAGCCAAGAGTTTGTAGCTGCTGGCTCTTTCAGCGGCTGGCTTGTGCATTTGTTGGCTCTTTAAATGCTGCAGAGTTCAGAAGCCGGTGCTAACTTTATCTGTTTGACACTGCGTATGAAGCATGCAGGGTTTTATCAGAGTTTTATCACTGACAGTGACTGCCTCAGAGTGTGGAAAGTGAACCACAACAGAAAAGTTCAGGGATGGACCTTGAAACCTTAATAATGCAACTGAAAGACACCAAAGAGTTTAGAGGGTTAGTTTTACTTTTGGTACCACTTCAAATGAAGCAGAACCAGGTGATCCATCTCAGTACAGAAACTCCATCATCTTTACATCTCATAGTCCGTTTACAAGTCACTGTTAGAAATATATATTTTTTTTAAATATTGAGCATTTTGTAGCAGAAACTGTACAAAGCCTTATAAAAAATGCCTCAAGTGATGTCACTTAAGTCAGTGCTGGTTTGGGCAAATTTTGAAGTGAACGTGGTGGTGGGTAGCAAACACAACACCTTATTTCTGAGGATCCTTAGGTGATATTATAACACAGCCAAAACTCAGACCTTACTGTTGGTCAGGTTGGAGTTTGGGTATTGTAGTCCAATGTATTGCAGGTTTAATACAATCCATGGAGTAAAAGAGATACTATCTCTGGATTTTGCTATTTCATTTTAAACCCATCATGAGTCTGACATCGATATATTAGCACAACGCTAAACCTGTGGCGCGTTCAGTAAGTGTTTTGACCAAAGAGTAAAATAAAGACAGGAAAAAAAAAACTCACAAAGCCAGTAATTTGTAGTGACTGGATGGAGGAGCTGGTGTTGAAAAAGCCCATCGCTCTCAGATCTGGGTAGCTCCCCACCTCTAACACGTACATCCTCCCAGAGAAATCCTGACCCTCGAATGCCAGCCAGCTGAAAGTAATATGCATAAATACACACACACACACACACACACACACACACACACACACACACACACACACACACACACACACACACACACACACACACACACACACACACACGCAATATGAAGAGCACAGATTATACTCATGTTCATGTGAATGAGGAAAGATGACCACCTTTCTAATTTCAATGTGGACATTTAATTACATAATATAGCACACAGTGAATTACAATATGCAGACGATGCTCCATATTCATGATATGATTGAAGATGAACTGCATACTCTTTTCACTTCTATGCACAGGACTGGGCAATATGAAAATGAATACTGATGAAGAGTTGTAAAAATGTAAGACAGAGCAACCACTGATACCATGAGGGACATTTTCCCTTGTCTTAGGAGATCTGTGGAGCAGTGACAGCCTGTGGTAGATTCTGACAAGCAGAAGCATGAATATTTTCTGTGATATGAGCAACATCCAGCTTATATTACATCACCTTTGAGGGAATCATAAAGTGCCTATTTCCTGCCTGCAATCAGCTTCTACATGGTTGTGTTTTGAATACCTTCAATCCAGCTGATCACACAATAACTACATATCATCATTCATATTATCAAACTCACCTGCCGGCCAGGACCTTGCACGACGCCACAGTGGAGCCGTCCTGCAGGGAGGCCACGCTGTCCTCCAGAGCAAGGACAGTCCCTTGGAAACCAGGATCAGAGAAAAGCTGCACCTGAGGCACGAACAGCAAGACAAAAGAGGCTGAGTCATCCATCCTGAACCCCCTCACATACTTCATCAGGTAAGACAGACATGGTCGCAGCAAGACTAGATTGTTATTTGATGCTTTTCAAACACCTACCTTAAACTTGGCGGCATTCTCAAAATCACCCTGAAAGGAAACAACAGCATAATGAAGCTCATTAAGATCACTGAAACACATGAAAAGCAATTTAAAACAGATCTTATTTGCATTGTTATAGCTTAACTCCAGTTGTGGGTAATGTGCAAAGATGGGTACAATAATGAAGAAAAAAGTCCTGATTATTTTTTATTTTATTTTGAATTAAAGCCGATTAACAAACACTATTAAGGGTCTTGGTTTCTTGTGCATTTTGCCTCTAAACTTCTGAAAGAAACTTTGTCAAAGACTTGAATGTAGCTGCAACAACATGACAACAAGACTTTGCTTGAATACTTTGTCTATTCATCATCATCTGCTTTGAAATTGAAGTAGCCTGATGATGACTCACCCCCCCTGATCTCATATGAATTCACTCTCAGTCTTATGACAAACATTTTCCTCGGTTACACAGTAGGGGTCGTATCGTTCTCGTGCTCCTACTCTCTCTACTCTACTGTTCAGCTTGTTTGAGGGGATTCCTGCTCTCTGTCTTCAATGTAGTTTTGGTCACAGGCATGTGGGTGTTGTAAATTAGTCACATGAAATGAAAGCATTTGGTTAGCCACTCTGGGAATAACAAAGGGGAAGTGAGAATACAGCCAGCTTTTTCCTATTGCAAAACTGCAAAAATGATTCATCACACGATGGTTAAATGACAAGTAATGAGGAGAATGAAAAAAAAACCCTTAGAGATCAATAAATATGAGGGGCGATGTTTTTAATTAATGCAAAAACATAAAGATGTTATAACTTTGTCTGAGTCACGCATCTTACCAGCACAACAGGCATTGCTGAGGCCACTCTGGGCTGAAGCGCCCCCCAGTCCTCCGGGCTTCCATACAGTCCCTTTTCCAGGATGTAAGACTCCCCACAAAAGCCAGGCTCCTCAAACACAACCCATCTGAGAGACAAAACAGAAGGATAAGCAACCTTTTATTTTGCACTGATTTTTTCAGAATTCCACCTTCTGTCTTCTCACTTTATCTAAATTTTAGAAAGAAAAAAACAAAACGTTTTTCATGCACACAAACTTGCGCAAAAATAATTTGTAGTTTTACAGTCAAAAATGTAGTTCATTTACCATCAACAACTCTTTGTCAGAGTCCTAGTTGATAATTTTCCCAAACAGGAAGGCATCTCGAGCAGTTATGCACAACATGTACTGTCATGGCAAGTGTGTGCATGCTTTGGGAATCTGTTTGTTTGTGTTTTGATGTGCTAAAGTTTGGGTATTTCTGCTCGGGGACAAACGCGGCCTGTGTTTGCATTAAAGCGGTCTGCGTCATGGCGTGCTTCACTACAAACAAGTCCCTCTCAGTGACGCTAAAAGAACACACAAAGCCATCACAGGCTTAAAGGGACAGGCAGCGAAACATGGGCGAGGCTGTGAAGGCTAATAACAGGCTAGCTGCACGGCAAGAATAACTCTCAGTTGTTATGGGAGTCCCGTCTGCCAGAGAAGGACGAAATGTTCCAATCCACATTATTCATCATTTTGCCGTCCCCTTGGGAGAACGACACTCAGCATGTTATTTTCTTGCTGTGATAGGAATCATAATTCTGCATTTATTTTTAGCTGATTGTAGCATAAACTAACAGAAACACGTGTGGAATACAGCCAGCACTAAGATCTTTTCCTACAGCATGTCACATTACAGATGATAAGATAAAAGAGAAACAACATTCCTTGTAAGCAGCGTTGTTCAGACGTCTAGGAATTCCACCTTCACACCCTGCACTCTTTACCATCAGTTCCCAATGCAGCAGGGTGTGAGGCAGAACGCTAACATGACATGCTAACATGACAGGGAAGTGAGGTGTGGCAGACAAAACATTAGTGTACAAGCGATTCTGTTTCGACCTGTCAGCATGGGCGCGCCCGCTTCACCACTGCACACCTGACATAAGACAGAATGCCAATAAAATGCACAAGACTTCACTGGAAAGCTCAAAGTAATTTTCCGTTTGGAGCACAAAAATACATCGAAAACATTGTACTTCTAGCCGGACAGGTAAGGACTCAAGCACACTTTATCAGAAACATAATTGAAGTCTTGCAGTGAGAGTCAGCTGAGGAATTTGAATAAACAAAAACAGATTTTATTTACTTGAGAAGGTGGAAGAATAACTCTGTAAACTGCCAAATCTTTTGTTTGCATCACCGCTGTGACAGCTGTGAGAAGTTTGGTTAAGGATAAGAAAATACTTGTCACTCACACTCCGCCGATGACATCAATAGACTGCGTCTTCACGCCGTAGCCCGTGTCGTCCATGTTGATGACCGGCACTGATAGGTCAATGTTGACGCCAAGATCTCCGAAGTTTCTGTCGCTGAACATTTTTAAGTGTGGAGACAGGAAGTCCTGTAACCAAAACAAAAAATCTGAAGTAAATAACACCAAGAAAACAAAAAAAGACATGAGTGCCTAGCATGTAGCGAGAAGTCAACAGGACTCCACGACAATGGTTCTATAACATATTTCGGCTTTCCTAAATATTGTAACAGAAAAACTGCCATCCTTTGTAATCGCTCTTTGCCTTGCAATGAGCCCAACTCGTGTTTTGAGAAGCACTGCTCAAAGGTTGGACTTGTTAACAAGTTTACAGAAGATATTTAGTGAATACTGATGGGGTTGGCTGGTTTATGAAATGCTGAGCCATTCCAAAGTCAGCCAGCTGTAAATGATGTATGGTTGAATCCGTAGCCACTGTTTCATAAACACACAACTTTATTGTCTTTGCACATTTCATTTACTTTTTTGTTCAATACAGTTAGTTTCATGGATCAATTTTCCAATAAAAAAAACAGCAGGAAGCCTCGAGCTTTCTCTGTAAACCCTAAAAACAGTCAATAATGTGAGTTTATGAGGGAAGGTCTTGGTCTCCCTTGGTGTGCATGGACACATTTTTTCCTTTCCTACAGAAATAAACTTTTCTCAGGATGACAGAGAATCGTTTTTTAGGACAAATTCTGCTCCCCAAAGCACAATTTCAGATGAACACCACTTCTCTCCCTCTTATACTCTGGTATAATAAAAGCTAACTTTGGTACAGTGTAGAGTTAGTTAATCTTCTCTGGTACTCACAGACAGTATTGGTCTCAGTGACAGGAGCGGTTCTGAGCCTCCCCAGTCGCTGCAGTCCATGTACTCTCCCTCCTCCAGGATGTACTGCTGGCCCTCAAACCCAGGGTGGCTGTAGCCCACCCAGCTGTTAAGAAACATATGCTACAATGTTAGAGTCGACTTCTAATGACAAAATCAGCGACCTGCAGGAAAAAGTTGGTACTGAAGTTAGTATGCCTCAAGACAAGGAAACCACCAAACTTTATCCTTTGCAAGCACATAAAAAGAGACTCACAGTCCTCCGATGATCTTTAAAGAAGCAGCAGATGTAATTTCCTTTGAGTCAGGGTTTACTCCATCTGTTGCATCGTCTCCTTCACTCTCACAAAAGCTGAAAACATCACTGTCGGCTTCCAAACAGGAGCCCTGAAAGCCAGGCTCGTCATACACCATAGCCTTTAACAGACAAAAAAAAAACACATCTTACATAAATATGACTCATAATTTATAATTGGTAAGTGGATTGACTGCATTTAAAATTATTTGGTTCTAAGAAAACACTTAAGGTGGTTACAGCAGTAGTTGTATCGAGTTATGTTTTATTTCTAGATGAATATTGTTATGAAAAAGTAACAACTTTGGACTGACAGCCTTGGATATTCTTCAGTTTAATACTTCTGAGCACACTCTCTGAAGAGAGTAGATTTCAGTTAAATAACACTACAAGTTGAGTCTCAAGAGGCTCTCTTAACATTCATTCTGAGGTCTCAACATGGCTGCTGTCAAAACACTCTGTGGTTGGTTAGACTGGAAAATTCCTCGACAATGCATCTACTTTTGGCTTGAAAGGCCGTAAGACAAACACAATAATTAACAGAAAATTGGTCCAAAGAATTTAACGCACACTGTAGGCAAGCTTTTGTAAGACATGTTTACCCTCCATGTACTAATCAGAGTTACTCTTTTTGCTACTTTGCAAAGTGAAGACTCGTAGTGCTCACATGAACATTCAGCACATGCAACATACGTACAAATGAAGTTAAGTCTTACCTTGACTTCATTGGGATTTTCCACTTTGAAACCACCCTGAAACACATCACAAAATCATCATTAACAACATTTTAAATTAATAAATCAATGCACACTGAAAAAAAAACAACAAGCCAGTCAAAAAAAGCACAAATGAGTTATATTTCCTTGAAAATGACATTGACAAATCTGCTCATCAAAAACGTGGTGCAAAGAAATGAAATGAATCCAGAAAAATGAGATGATAGAACGTCTGTCACTGTGTGTTGCTAATTAATGCAAATTTCAACACTGGCAGCTCGTTCACTCAAGAGAGTCAGGCAAAGGTTATGCACATAAAGAAAAATGGATTACAGAGTCACAATAGAGAATGAGTTTTGACATTTTGTTCATGCAGGCTAACAGTATAATTTATTTGATATCTTAAAAGGGATATTTTACTGATTTAAATGTATCAATCTGATGAGGTATATTTTATTAAAATCCCTGGAATTGACAATGTTCTCTGTGTCTTTAGGGGCTTAGATCCAGAACAGCTGCAAACTTTGTTATTGTTCCGGGCCACCAGTGCCATCTTTTGACAGGGTTTGTGGTTTAGAAGATCTGTGGACTATTCCAGTCTGGAAGTCTAGTTCTGGCCTTTGCTTTTATAGACAACAAAATTTGCAGGGGGGGGGGTAATGGACGAAGGAACATTATGCAGCAGTCTGGCTCATTTGGCAGATTCAGCTGTATACGTATCTTAGTTTGTGGCTGAAGCAGCAAGGCCAACAGAAAGAAGCCAAGTCTGCTCTCACTCAAGCTAGTACATTACAAACAGAATATGGAAGATTCAGAGGGGAGCAGACACAAGAATGAGGCCAAAGACACGTTAGAGGACATCTGAGGCTGACTTTAACTATTAAAGTTAACTGTTCAGGGTGTTTACTTTCTTATTTGGGTGTATTAGCATGCCAACATTCACTAATTAGCACTAAACCCAAAGTTCTAATGACTCTGATGCTAATGCCATTAGCTTGAAGGTATCTGGTAAAAACACAGACTTTGACTTATATTTTGACTTGACGATGGCAGTAGATGGAACGTTTGGTGGCCTGTAATGTAGTAACTCTTTTATAAGGGAGCGTGAGTGTGTGTTTACCAGATAGCATGGCAATCAATCCAACAATTGTTAAGACAATGACAGGATGAGAAATCAGGACTTCAAGACTCATCCTCGGGGGGTAACATGAATGTCTGCAAGCAAGTTTCATTCACCCATGCATTGACCTAAATCATCAGCACGTTTGCTTAAATTTGTCGATAACTTTAATCCGGATGGCAGAGGTGGGAAGACAAACACTGCCGTAGTGTCATCGTGACAGTAGCACAGCTAAAAAATAGCAACTAATCACATTCAGCAAACATGCACCGCATTGTACACAAGGCATTGCACATAAATACTCACAATTTTTAATGGTCTAATAGATCCGACAAATGGTGATTGGAAGCCCCAGGTCTCAGGGAAAGGAAACACTCCTGTCTCCAGCACTCCTACCATGCCCTGAAAGCCAGGGTCACTGAACACCAGCCACCTGAAGGAAAGAGGAACATCCACGTGACATGCTAATTAAGCAAAACGGCCCTGTGGATTATGCTTAACTATGCCCATGCAGTTTTAAAACTACTGTGAGTCATGACCTTGCAGGGCTTGTTATAAAACAGAAAAATTGAACCAACTCGCTGACTCTTATATGCAATAACTTCAGCTATGATATTTTTGTCCAGAGCCTAAGGTATTACTAGGTCAGAGTAGTCTGTTCTTTATTTCAGTTTTTCATGTCTACCTCATACATGAGTTATACAACTACAGCGGAGGACAAAAGCTGTTTGTTGCAGAATATAATATCATCTTCTAAGAGTTGTTTTTAGCATGGGCAACCTTTGTTAGAACTCTATACTGCAGCTATTTTGCGCCTTAATGTGCAATGCCTCATACCAAACACCACATGTGAGTCTTTGGCAGACAAAATAATTCCCTGTTTATTCAGTCACTGCTGAGGAACTGATACCGAGACATGATGCCAACCTCAAGGCGCCGACTGACATAAACTAACAGACAAAAAATGGGTAATTTTTGTCAGAAAGCTCAACTGAGCTCTGAGCACTTCTCACTGAATTTGTACAGTTGAGCCACTTGACGCAGGGAGAACACTGTAGGAGGAGATGCTGGCAAATGTTGAAAAAAAATCTCCAAATTGTTAGCTTTCTACCAAACGTGCCAAAGTAAATCTACAGAAACAGCTGTGGGAGAAGCGTCTGCTGTCGTTAAACCGCCTCTGGGGCGGGGCACAAAATGTCCTGCATGCCTTTACCTCTCACGTGGAGACGTACATTCTTCCCTTTGCAAAATTCTCTCCACACCTGTGTCTGATTCTCGCTATCTGTCGAGTCTCCAGCTCTTTACTCTGCTTTCCAAGTGCCCCCCCCACACCCACACCCACACCCACACCCACTCTCTCTTTTCCAACATGCAGCAGCAGGACAGACATTCCTGAACAGGCAAACCAGTGAGAGGGAAACCAAAGACAAAGACTGAGGAGCGTAGTAATGATTATTATCTCTCAGCTGTTTGTCAAAGTCAACTGCGCTGGTGGGGACATCTCAATAAAGAAGTAAAAAGCAGCTCTGTGTTCAGCACAGCAGGAAGGATTTCACTCGTCTCCTCTCCTGGTAGCTCTGCCGCCATTAATGGTGAAAGAATCAATATAGAGAACCACATTCATCTCATTAGCTTCACTTCAAGCTCCGCTGTGACAAAAGCATTGACTCTATCTCTTCATTCTTTAACATTATAATATAATGCATGTAACTACCTTTCCACCACTCCGATCAATCACAATAACTGAGCCATGTGTCTGGCTAATGATTTGATTTCAGCAGCGTGTTTAACACGGTCACGCTCGTTTTAACAGATTTCAATCACAGATATCTGCTCAAACTTACACCCCGGAGTGCACTTGGATAGAAGCGGTGTTCAGCGGGATGCCAAACGAGCCCGTCTCAAAGGTGTCATCGTGGTAAGGTGTTACTCTGCCTCGGCCCTCTGGTTCAGTAAACAGATCAATATGGGGGATGTTGTAATCCTGTAGAGAGGGGGAACCAGACACAGCAATGATCAGCATTGGCCTTAAACTAGGCGTTTGGAAAGAACTAAAAGGACCGAAACAGTGTTATATATCATTATCCAAAATGTGTCCTTAATGCTAAAGACGGAGAGATGAGTCATTTTCTTCAGTAACAGTCTATTTTATTTGGGTTATTGCTGTTGGGTAAACACGGATGAAAACCCCCCCCCCCAAAAAAAACAGTGATACATCAGAGAAGACTGCAAACGGTTTATGTTTGTTTTTATTGCTCAGTCAGGAAGAGGCAAGCTTTTTCAATGATGTTTGCTGCCCATTTCATAACCGAAGCTGTTCCCTTTAAAGTCACATCTTTAGAAACAAAAAAGGCCCGATTAGAGTACTGGCAGGATGGGAGGTAAGACGACGAGAACAATTAATGTGGCATTTTAAACTATGGATATTTTTTGACAATTTAGGTGAACAAACTGACGGGTCATATTGGGGTGTTCGGGACATATTTGTGTATCAAACAATCATAAAATCATCATTGTATTTCTTTAGATATGGTGGCTGTTTCACACAAAAAGGTCTAAAACGCTCAGGGTCCCACACTTCTTCATTACATCATCGAAGTCTGTCTTCTCCTTTTGTTTTGATCCAGAGAGCAGCGTGAATAACACTTATGCATCTTCAAATCATTCCTTTGCAGTGTAACTAGGTAAGTCGTAGAGCAGTATCACATATTTCAGAAGACCTTGAGAGTTAACATCAATCTATATATTGAAAAGCTGAAGGCCAAACAAGGTGATGATATTTGTTCACAGCACTCACCCAGACAGCCAGTCTAATAGATCCAATACGCATTGGTGGGCTGTTCTGTGGTTCGGCTCCTGGCAGAGATTCTGCCCACAAGTTTGTCAATTCAATGTCACCTTCCTCTAAGGCGATGCAGCGTCCCTGATAGTCTGGCTTCTCGTGGAGCACCCAGCTGTAGCAAAGACAAAAGCATTACATTAAATTGCAGCATTATATTTCTGACAGAAAGAAAACAAAGTGTACATGTTTTAAAAAGCGTGTTTGAAATCTATACTTCAACCTATACCTGAATTTGCTTCAGGTTAAGATGAGAAGATCGAACATGGGGTGGCCGATTAGATTTCAAGGGGTGCTAACCTAGCTATGTTCATGGCACCTCTAAAGCTGGCTCATGTACATGCTAGCTTTATGCAAAGACTACTCAAGTGATCAGTTTGAAACGATCAATTATGTTTTTTAAATGGAGGTTGTGTGTTTGGCTAGTTCCTGATTGGGCACATTCCTTTCTAAGATTTTTTTTTACTTGGCAACCTCAAAGGGGCAAACAATCTTCAGGAAGGTCCCACTTTTCCAAGAGACAATCCAGCTCATAATCATCCTAAACCACTCTGTGTTTTTGACCTGATGCAACCAACAAGATTCAACATGTTAGTTTGTGAGCTCTAGAGGTGCTGGTACATGCAGTAGGATTTGTTACTTTGAAACAAAGCAAGGGTAGCTGTGTCCCTAATGCTAAGCTAATGGGCTTCCTGCTGTAACAGTGATTTTAAAAATGAGTCAGGAGTGTACTGTTGTTTTATCTCTTTAGGCCAAACAGTGCAGATCATTAACTCACGACCACATCATTTGACAGTAAAGTGGTTAATAAAATGTATTTATATTCAAGAAATAATGTAACTTCCCCTTGTGCCCCATGTATGACCTTAAGGGCAGTCACGTAGATTTAGGTTGGAGGTTAGGAGTATTCTATGTACCCTTTGAATAGAGGCATAAACGCAGAAAATTTGGCATTTCACAATCTCGCCAGGACAATGTTGCTGATCCAAATCAGTTTAAAACCAAGTTGCAACCTCCATCCTTGAATAATGAAGACAATGTAGAGTTCCCCAGATGTCATCTTCAGAGGCAGCTTCAAGAGTCTCTTACCTAAGAGTCTTGTTTGAAATTAAATAACCCTTATTTAATTATTACTGGTGACACACTTCATGTTTAATGTTTCTTGTATTTCTCTTATATTTGAAGCTCTTTTGTGTTCATTTTTTTATTCTGTAATGTTGGAGCAACCTGGGACAAGAAGTGCTTTCAAGATTTTAAAGTTCTATTTTATCTTAATTGGGCAATTATGACTGATAGGTGGGGGTGTTGTAGCCGTTTGCCGGGGGGGGGATTAAAGACCTGCCTTAACTCCATCTTTCTTTTACTAGATCAACCAAAGGTTAGGTAGAGTCAGCAATTGTAATGGGCGGAGGTGCTGCTTGTCAACAGGCAAGGTAGACGTTTGAAAATTTGCACATTTTGCAATGACAAAAGAAAAACCTCCCTAATGGAGCACTCTGCTGAACGCTGGTTCTGCACCCACTGCTAATGGGTCAACCTAATTCTGTTTCTCATGCCTCTTCAGAAACCAACGGGTGACGCCACTGAGCTGTCCTCAATGTTTTATACAGTCTCTGGGTAAAACACCAAGAACAGCTGCAATGATCCAGCAAAGGGAGACAGCTATCGAGTAAACAAAGCTGGATTCAAAATAGAATTCAACCAGGTTGCCTTGCCCAAAAAACACAAACAATTCAGTTTGGTGAGTAATGCCAGGAGTAGAGAGCACTCTGTTTCCTTACAATAAATGATCAAGAGGCCCGATACAGGAAAAAGAGCAGGAAAACAAGTATGGAACTATCAGGGCTGATTTACCATTGAATTAGTCTTCTGACACTTCTTAAGAAGCCTTAACAAGCAACCCTAGCACCCATACACGACTTGACACTAATTAGAACTAAACCTCAGTTCACATCGTCTTCCCATGGTCTGAAAGTTCAGTTACATATGATTACTTACCATCCTCTAACCACCTTGACAGATATGTGAGGCGAGAGCTGCAGAGACGTAGCATCTGCTACATCCCTGTAAATCTCAAACGCCTGGCCGCTGCACTGAGCTTTCTCAAACAACACCATCTGTTGAGACACATGAAGGGGCAGGGTCAGGAAAAATAAATAATCCATGGTAAAAAAAATAAAAAATAAATGTATTTCATGCCCACTCCATCACATTAACTCATGAGTCACAGAGAGCTGTAAGAAAACTAATAGCATGGCAACTTCTTTTCCCCTCTCTATTTAATGTACATTTCTACAAAATGCATATTTATATTTTTAGTATCGCTAAGAGCATAAACACACTTTTACTTGAACTACCAGGGCTTATCGTAATGCATTCTGTAACCACCAAATGTAACATAAAAGCTACATTTGCAGTTTAAAGGCCAACGAAGAATTGAAGTTTGTGAATAATGAGCAACAAAAACAAGCTGCTCTGTGGACTCTGTGGTCACTGCTTTGAGCTTTTTTCCTTTTTCTGAGAGCCCTTATCAAACCTGCCCTTTTCATGCAGCGTTTCATCGCATGTGTGAATATGTGTGAGCGTGTGTGTTAATGCCGGTCAAAGCAGTGGTAGACGAGGAACTGAAAATGTTGAGCAGCAGGGGAGTATCTCTCTTTTCTTGCAACGACTATAAAACTTCTACAATAATGAAGAGCCATAAGCTCTGCATTGGCAGCACTGAATTCCATGATTGTAATCACATCCAGCTGAACATTTGCACTCAACTGTTTTTTTTTGTTTTTTTTTAAATACTTTGTTTACCCCCAAGAACACCATATGAGAAGCAGATGTTTCCAAAGAACAGTGAATGTCTGTCCAGATTCTTTTCTTTCCATCTTGTTTTTATTCTCTGTGGGCAAAGATGTGCCTACTGTACCTTTCCAGGGCGCTTGTGAAATCCCCTGGCAGTTCTTGTCTGGAATGCAAAAACACAGAATTAAAATGGGGTAAAGACTTCAGAGCATGGCACACCTCGAGGAAACTGATCCGCCTTTGTTGATGCAGCAGCTCTGTAACTGTTGAATATCCCCACCTTTTAGTTAACGTCCAGGGACAGAATCGGTCGATGGAGACTACACTGCTTTACCCTGCATGTAAGCACTGCGCTGGCAGGCTTAGCCAAGCAGATTAAAGTGTTTATCCTTACAGCATACTTTCAAAATAGGCAACTTCCGAGCTTAAAGGCCACAAATGTCAACAAAAGGAAACAGGAAAAAAGTCAAATTTTAACATTAAGCTTCCCCAAAAAGTAGTTACGGAAAGTATTTCAGCAAATGAAATCCCAGAGCCAACATTTGAAATCCTCTACTTTCATAAATGTGACTACTGTACTCGCTTGTTTACACAGTTGTCTTTCAGGGTAAACTGAAGCAGTGGTTTGAGCTGTGATTTGAACAAAATCAACTCTTTGTCACTTTCTTACACTTACAGTAAATGGCAAATTCATCAGTTCATTTAATTTGAAAGTGCTTTCATTACTTCTCAGTACAGTAATTTCCAATTGGAAATGCAATCCAAACCACTTATATTCTCAAGATGTTTTCTGGACAACAAACAGTTAAAATGGTCAAATCCAGAGTGTCCAACTGGTAAACTCCCAGTTAAATTATCCTAAATTAAATCATATCTGTCTGCTCTGAGGTTGTCAAAATTAGATTTGCACATCATAATCATACTGATAAAAACAATTAATGGATAGTTTATACAAAGGTTCTCCAAGGAAAAAAGGGTAGAGAGAATTAAATTCTCTCTGTGTGTTGCATGACTTAAATAAAAATCAAGTTTAGAAGTCAAGAACTATATTTCCGGAGGTCAGACCCTCCCGTTTTGCATAAGGCATAGCATCTGATGGTCAAAGCCTGATATAAAGAACCAGTGTTTCTCAGTGATGTTTTTTGTCTTAATGGAGAAATACTTCAAAAATAGCATTTCTTACTATCATAAACACTAGGTAGTTATTCATTGGTTAAAGCTCATTTTAGGATTTTTCAGGTTAAGTTGATTTTGGCTGCCCTCTTAGTAATTAGCTGAATCATTTTGGGGGCGGCAGTAGCTCAGTCTGTAGGGATTTGGGCGCCCCCTCTCACCACCATCAGCCCAGGAGCGCCCGCTGTGGGCAGCTCCCTCACTCTGGCATCTCTCCATTAGTTCATGTCCATGGGATCCTGTTTGTGTATATTTCAGTCTGTGTGTGTGTTGCATGACTTACAAAGTGTAAAAACAGAAATTTCCCCTTAATAAAGTAAATCTTGAATCTTAAATTTGTCTCTATTATATCCTGTCATGCATGTTTTACAGATACAGATTTTTCTGTATGTTTTCTGACAGAAAACTCATACCTGTCTTTATGTTGAATGTCTAACGTACAACTCACAATGCCTCTCTGAATTGGAACATTTTTAGAAGGCTGTTTCAGCAGAGTGCTGTTAATCGCCTCATCTGAGACCTAGCACCCCCCGACAGGGCTGACTGCCATATACAATTACAAAGTAGAAATGATCAGTGTCCTTTCTGATGGTCTCCTTTGCTTTTGACGCTCATAAAGAGACTTCAGTATTCATTTCAGTCTGTTTCATGACCATGTAAAAACTCCTCACAGAAGCTTTAATAAAACTTACAATAAGATCACTTTAAAATGAATAGTTATGTAAAAATGACAGACATGTAAAATGAGGCGTTATGAAAAACAGTCTGTAGTTGCAGCCCTAATCATGGTGCAGTCATTTACAGCAGCCAGCACTCAAGTAAAGAGCCTAAAAAGACAAAAGATCCTCTGTTCTGTGGATGACGAAGACTCTCTCTTCATGATGATACTCGATACCAGAATGAAATAGTGGCACATTTTCTGCAGGAGCTAGTGCAGCTCTTGAGAAATGAAGGATGTCAAAGAAAAATGTTCTAACACACTAACACAGACTTGACGTTAAGCTTTAAATTGTGATCCTAAACTCGTATAACATGGTGTAGGCTGCACACTTACAATGTTATTAAGTATTCCCTGTGGCTGAGCTGGACGCTGCTTGAGCTCAGTCAGTGTGGAGTGTGTGGGTGGAGAGATCTCAGGAAAACGTGGAGGCTTAGCATCAGGAAGAACTGGAACTGGTTTCATAGCCCTATCTCTTTCCACTACAGGGGTTGGAGTTGTCATTTTCCCAGCAGCCTGATCCGAAAAAAAAGCGAGCACATCAGTTAAGTTAAATGCATCACACTGACATTTGTAGATATTTAGGGAGTTGATACAACAGAGCGCTGGATTTTACGAGTATTTCCTGCCATTAGATTCTGAAAACGCTCTGATAGTTGGTGTTATTGGTGAGTAACTTCTAGCTTCAAACTTCACTTGTTCTTGCAAGAGACATTTTGTCAGTGGGTACAACCTCTTTACATTCTTATCATTCTTAGTTGGAGATTTAGAAAAAACACAAATAAAACTAACCTCTGTTCTGACTTGCTCTTGTCCTTGTTTGCTCTGCACTGGTTTTGGTTCTCGAGGGAGGTACTTCTCTAAATAGTCTGGCAGCTTGATGTCGTTAAAGGAAGGAAGTAGAGGGGCTGAGTCACTGACCACAGCCTCCCCGGCCTGGTCTTCCTCTTTGTTTCTCGGGAGCAGGCTCTGCTTTGCGAGTGTGTCTTTGAGTGGAGCTGCAGAAGTCGGGCTTGGTGGGGGTGGCTGGGATGAAGGTGGAGGGCTAGTGTGGGGTGAGTCGCTAGGTGAAACCTCCCCAGAGTTAGTGCCTTCTCCCTGGGTTTGAAATCCAATCCTCTTTCCCCTGAGGATGGAGGAGCTCAGGCTGCTGAGGACACAGCTCCCCTCCAAGCGAGACTTCCACTTGATTTGGTCGTCTTTCTCTTCCTTGACTTCTTCCTCTTCATTTACGGGGGTGTTTTCCCTGAGGCGAGAATGAGTGTCCAAGCTGTTCAGCAGCAGGCTCCTGTCGGCCAAACTCGCCCTGGCCAGTTTCAGGCCAGATTTTTCCTCTGCGTTCTGTAGTTTGGCTAAGCTGCTTGGGGTCGTATCAATGGTGAACTGCTTCTTCTTCCGCAAGCCAAATTTAAACTCTTCAGGGTCAAACGTCTTCTCGTAGCGGTCCTCCTTGATTGCAGGCAAGGCGAAAGGTGGCTGAGGTGTCCCGTACGGGTTGTGTCTACGTGGTGGGAGGGAGAACGGGGCGCAGAGTTTCTTGATTCTCTCGACAAAATCGTCATCATCTAGGTCATCTGGTGCGTCCAGAAGGTTACTCTCACTTCCGGCAGAGGTCAGCTTAGCCATGGAGACTTTGAGTTTCCGCTTTGGAAAGTCCACATCCAGCCAGCTGGAGGGGGCGTCTTGCCCTGTTGCTGAATCATCTTTGCTTAGTCCACGTGGAAACTGGAGCTTCTTCATGGGTGAACGCTGGACTGAGTCTTGGATTAGCTTCTTTGACTCTGGGGAAGTTGGTACTTTTTCGGTCTGACCCGGCTTGCTATTGACTGGTTGCTTTATGTCAGTTTTGGGTTGTGGATGTGAGGAGATTTCCCCACTAGCAACAGAAGAAAGTTCATTCTTTAGTGTCTGCATTGTTCTATCAGCAGTCTTCTCTACCACATTGACTGTAGAGTTTGAAGCAGTGCTATCCAAGGACATCTGTGCTGTTTTTTCTGCGCCCTTCAGTGGTGTGATATCCCTTGTGCTTTGTGTATTTTCTGATTCCTCACTAAGTGGGCTTCTCTCAGGACGTTTCGCAAAATCTCCTGAGATTTTGACTTCTGACGGCACTGATTTGACACCCGAACTCTTCTCTGTAACATCCTTTCTCTTTTTCTCACTACCTCCTGACTTTTCCTCCTCTGCCGTGTTGTCAGCCCGCGCAGTAATCAGTGCTGGAGAGTCAGTGCTGGCTTTTACAGTCACTTCCTCATCAGCTGTATTTGCTCTGGTAATAGGCTTTGAGCTGGAGAGCATAGCATCATTAGCACCATGTGCACATGAGTCATCCAGTGAGTTTTCAGATTTTTCCACGGATACAAAATTAGGCTTTGGATCCGCTGCGGTCAACACTGACTCTCTGTCTGTTCCAGAGCTTTCTGCAGCCTTCTTTTGCACATTTGTTGCCGTCTCTCCCTTCAACGGCCCTTTATCACTGTCCATCCCACTTGCAGCTTCATTGGCAAGAGTGATTGTGCCAACGCCAGCTTTTTGTGTAGACTTGTTCCGCCCGTCATGCTGTGTTTGAGCTCGGACGTCTGATGATGTCTTTACTGAAGACTCAGAGGCTGAATCCTGTTGGTTGGTTTTCGGCTTTGTTGTGTTTTTGATGAGCTGTGTCTCCTCTTTTCTTTCAACATTCTTTCTTTCATCTTTTCTAAAGGCCGCCCCATCTGTACCTGGGAAACCTTTCCCACCGTTGGAACCCTCTGTCTTTGTGGTATTTTTATCTGACTGCAGGCGCTGCTGTGTTTTTTCCTCCTCTTTCTTCTTAGTCTGATTTGTTTTCTCACTCCCCTTTATTCCCACCTCTTTACTTTGAGCCTGCTCGTATTTGTCGCCCCCTTCCTTTTCTAATGTCTCCACTTCTTTACGCCCACCCTGTTTAGTGGTTTTGCTCTGTGCCTTTTCTATATTGTCAATTTCTTTACTCTTAGCCTGTTTTGTTTTTTTGCTTTCTAAATTGTTTAATTTGTCCCTTTCTTTACTCTCAGCCTGCTCAATTAGTTCTTTGTCCTTGGTTTTGGATTGCGCTTTTTGTCCTGCCTCTCCTTGATTGGGTTCCTTTACTTTTCCTTTCCTCTCTGGTTCAGATGGCACTGACATGTCTTTATTTAATTTGGGCTGTTCAGCGGTTGGCTCCTGCTCCTTCAAAGGAGGTTTCTTAATAGGTCTTTCTGCTGCAGGTGAGGGGGAGGGGGCTGTCTTTTCCCTGCTGTCCTTGGAGGCCTGGGTGAACAAACCCCCTGCTTTTTTGTCATTTTGGGGTAAAATAACAGACTGCTTATCAACAGGAGACTTTGTTTCACTGCTACAAGCATCAGTATCAAATTTGTCTTTGCTTTCAGACGGTTCAGCCAATCCCCCCTGCCTTTCAAGTGGTTTGTCAATTTTCTCCTTTTTAAAAGAAGAATCGGACTGTTTCTTCTGTTTGCCTGAGTCCTTTGAATCATTCTTCAAGGCTTTCTGTTGGGTATCAGACAAAGACGGTTTGTCTGGTGTCTTCTTGTCGGCTGTATCACATGGTGGTATGACCTCCTCTGCCGGTTGTTTGGATGCAGATGCCCTTTCTGTAACACCCACCGGTTCTGGTTTCATAGTTGTGGCCTCTGGTTCTGTTGTAGAGTGTTCTAGTTTGTAGTCCATGTTTGGGCTCATTGGACTGGTTGGCTCCTTACTTTTTTTCTTTTAGAGCGGGGGCCTGTTCTGCCTTTTGGCTGTGGGCTGAGGCTGATGGTCAGTTCTGTAGAGTCACCTGACCCTTTAGCTGCAGCAGCCTTTTCAGCACTATTAGGTTTTGAACCCTGATCTACTGTTTTTGAGGCCACTGTGTCCTTTGTTGAGGACTCATTTGGTCGTTCTTTAGGAGTGATAATCTTTACCCCTGCATCAGTCGTATCTTGTCCTTCTGGTTTTGAAGTTTTCTCTGTTTTTACATCTGTATGCTTTTGCTCTTTAGTATCCTGTTTACCCTGATCGTCCAGTTCTGGTGACTTTGATGCAGCAGATAAAGTGGATTTTTGATGCATTCTAGGCATAACTGGCTTTTGAGGCTTTTCTGCCCTTTCACCTGCTTTGGATGCGTCTGTGAAGTTCTTCATTCGCTCCTTGATCGTCATCGGCTTCTCCCTGGCGGGCGATGCAGAGCTGGACCTGAGCGTGTCATCACGTTCAGTCGATCTTGACCTCTGGTCGGATAATGAAAAATCTGCTTTCAGCTGCTCTGTGGCTTTCCTGACTGGGGAAACATCGGCATTCCTCTGCGTTTGAAAGGTCGACTTGCTGACGCCGACTGTAGGGCCCTCAAAGAGGCTGATTTTATCGGTGATCCGGCCAACGACTGGCTTAGGTTCCTCATCAATTTTCTTAAGGTTGTGTTGTCTGTGTAAGATAGGAGACAAAGGATAAACAAACATGATCATAATCGGCAAGCCAAACATAATTAATTAAAACTTGCTTGACTTCTTCAGCCACAAACTAATTACGGTTGAATGTGTGTGTGTGTTTTGCTAAGTCAACCTGGCATTTTTTTTATCTGAACTGAACTTTGCGATGCCATTCCTTGCAAAGTGTTGTACTTTGTGTCATGACTCACTCTATTGTGTCACTATGGATACACCTGCAGTAATCCAACCATAGCAGTTAGTGCACATTCCCTGTTTTGACAGCGATTTCATCTTAGTTAAAACATGAATGGTATGTTCTTTAAAGTTGATTTTACACTACTTCCATTGCTTAACATCTACCTTTATCAAATATGATTTTTTTATCAGCAATATTATTGAAAGGCTCTGCTTTAAACACAGCAGTGTATTGAACCAATCACATTTGAGTGAAGACTTACCTTGAATCAGTCTCTGTTTTGGCTTTATTCTTTGCTTCATCTTTGGTGTTCTTAAGCATTGACCTAAAATCCTGCGTGTCCTCCGTTGGAACTTGCTTCAAAGGTATGTTTTTGGGGAAAAACTTCACCTCACTGCGAGAAACCTTAAGACTCCTGCGTTTGGACTCCGGCGTCTCTGTTTTCCTCTCAACTTTGTAAAGACTGTCGTCCTCCATGTTTGCGCCTCCATCCACCACACTCGCCACAGTGGATGCTGTGACAGTGGAGCTTGAGTCCTGGAATTCATCCAGCTGGGCGACAGAATCAGGACAGGAAGTCTTACCTTCTCCTCCTTCAGGTGAGCCCAGAGGGGAGGGGCTGAGTCTAGAGGAGGAGTTTAGAGACGACTCTCCCGTGTGAGTGTTTGGACTTTCGCCCTGAGGGCTGGTCACTGCCTGGTCGGACGTAGGGATTCCCTCTGTGACAGCGCTGGGAGGGTTTTGTTCCTGCTGAGGGCTGTTCCTGCCATCTCCCTGAGAATTCTTCCTGAATCTTCTTTTGGCTGAGTTTTTCCGCCCCATAGTGTCGTCTTCTGTTTGTTTTTGATCAGGTTCAGGATCTAACTGTGTGTCTTTGTGTGATTTCAGTGACACTCCCACTAGGGCACTGTAATAACTCTGTGCCCCAATCGCAGGCGTTACATTTGTCCTTTTGTTCTCTGTACTTGTTGAACTTGCGCTGTCTGGCGGATCAAAACTCTCTGTTGACTTTGCCTTGGGTCGAACCTGTAGGCTTGTCTTGATTCTAGTGACCACTTCCTGTCCGGCACTGTGTGTGTCTTTGCCACAGTGACTCACGCTGGTCTCCTCCAGGTACACATGGAGCCTTTTGCCTGTCTGGGCCTGTGCTTGTCTCTGGGCCTGAGGCTGGGCGTGGGCTCGGTCAGAGTCCCACAACACTCCCCGCTCAGGAAGAGAAGAGAGATGTGTCAGATGGCTGGCATTCCTCTCAGGATTCCCGCTCTCTGAAGTACCGTTGCTGCTCTCCTCCCTGTCTTTGCCCTGCCCTGTTCTCTCCTTCCTCCACCCAACAAACTCCTCCTCATTTGGACCTCCTCCGGCTGTCTCAGTGCTGCTCACAACGGAGCTGACTCTGCGGGCAGACTGCGTGGCGTCCTCGCCTTCAAAGAGGAAAATGTTTCTGGAGAGCTGCTCTTCTCCCCTTGCTTTGCGTCTCAGAGAATCCTCACTCTCCTCCTCTTCTCCCTCTGACTTAAAAACCTGGTCGGAAGTCGGGGAGTCATTTTCAGAAGGACTTTTAGGACCCTTTCCCCTCCACGGAGAAAACCAGCTCCCAATACGACCCAAGACCCCAGTACTCGGCTGCTCCTCGGGGGTCTCAGACTAAAGGAAAGCAGAGAAATAACTCACATAAATATCTCTTTCCATGTGCAGAGGCAGCTTGTAAACATGTTTATCTCAAATGAATATGCACTGACAGTAGCTACACGTGGTGGTGCATATACCATGAACTGCCAATGGACAAAGGGAAAGGAGTGCAGGCTTGGAGTCTAAATGACATATAAGTAGGGTTGTGTGTTCAAAGACATTTTTTAGTATGGCCATGCATCTCTCAGCATTGCAAAGACATGCATGAGTGCTTATAACCTGTACGCTTACCGTAGAAAATACCATATCATTCAGATTCTTTATGTAGGATGTGAACATGATTTTGGTTTAGAACAAAAACTCCTAAAGAGCATAAAACAAACACAAAATCATTCCACCAGGATATTAAAAAACACAGGCACTTTCAAAAACAGCAGAGTTATCATTTCAAAAAGATATTCTGCTTTGGCAAAGAGAGAGAGAGCTCTATCCTTAACTTTCTTAATTTGATCAAATACTAAAGCATGTACATTCAAAAATCAACTCACCCTTCTTTAATATTTAGAAGAAAACTTTTTCTCCCAGCGCGAAAAGGAAAATACTTCTCAGTGTGTACAGTCCAGAAACTGCACTTAGATGCATGTCTTAACTGATCCACACACTAAGTTTTTAAGTCCACCTCTCATCCAGTTGAAGCATCCATAAACTGCACTGATCGGCAGACTGTGGGCGCTGAAGAAGTCCTGCCCCTCCAGCGGAGCGCACGCAACTCTGTGGTAAAGTGATGCCTTCATGTGCTGCTCGTAAACTTCTTAAACGAGTGTCAACAAGTGGACCAGCCACCTGAGAGCCGTGCACATGTGTAAGTCTGGCTAATGACTAAACCGAGGTGTTATTAGATTTATTGCTACTAATTAGCAATAATAGTGAATATGTCACACCCCTTATCTATCTACTTAGATACTCTTAAGGCTATAAAATGTCAAACACGTGCACCGAATCTCTATTAAATCATTTTTTTTATTTTATACTTCGTTATTAATTGTATTCCTTTGGTTTTTATAACTTAGCAACTCAAGAGTTTAGTCAAAAAAAAAAACATTTTTAATGGAGGTGTCTGTCTCTACAGTATGTGTTCTTTTGTTGTTTTTTTTGAAGGGGTGAAAAAAAGTCAAGAGAAGTTTTGGTTTAATCTCTGTTCTCACTTCTCTAATCTAAATAATTTAAGGCACTTTTCTGTTGAGTCTCGATGCAAGTCAGCAATGCTGTTATTGTCAATGCATATTAAGTGATATTTGTCACAGCACAGACATGATACAGGAATGATAAACGTACGGATGAAGCATAGGTTTGACATGACATAGGCCTAATGCATGCATTCATACATTTCAGAATTCTGATTATTACCATCGCATAGAATACTAAACAATGATGTGTAGTGACACCTAAATGTTGACACGTCACAGACTGGAACCTCAAATGTCGCTTAGATGTCAAATATGTGAGTCACTTGCGAGACCTCGGGCTAAGCGAGTCCAAATTTGATGTTGGGGTTTATTAACACACGCAACAGCAAAGACAAAAGCACAGAAAAGCAGCATGAGAATACTAAGTATTTATTTTAACGGCAGAAAAAGGAAATTAAAACATTTAAACGTTCTAGTTTGTCGTTTGATGTAATGAATCTGGTTTGGGGTCTGGGAAGTCTTGTTGAAACAACTTGTCCAGGTAGCTCATGTGTGGAGACCTTGAAACTCCTACATTTGTGTCAGCACTTGAAGGCAGCATTAGGCCGTCTCCAAACAAAGTTTTCCAGGGGAAATGACGCACTGACTGTGGGTTTTTTTGTTTTTTTTCAGGGCCTGTTCAGTTCAGTCTTTGGGTTTGAACCATAGACTGTTTGGACCTGCCCCTTCATTCAGTTGGCGGGCAGCTCAAGTCAGTGTTTCCATACTGCTGAAGCAAAGAATTTAACTCTTTGACGTCTTTTTCTCTGAGCAAGTAGACTACGCCTATCTTAATCTGGGTTAAAAGAGGCTTGTTAAATTAGGCTATAACTCAAGAGGCCTTTAATGACGTGACAAAAGTTTTAATTATGACTGAACACTTTCTTGAACCACAAACACATTGTGCCTGCAGGCGTTGGAGTGGAACTACCACTTTAATTAAGTTAAATGAAAGTCTTTTTTCTTGTTGGGTAGGCCTTCTGATTAAGACATTGAACGGCATATTAAGTCTACAGACATGTCAGAACAGGTTCGCATTTTTATTACTCATGAAATAAAACGTAGCCTATAAAAAAAAAAGCAGTTGACAATCATAGCCTAAAACGACGTTGCACAGCCTATACACTACACTGAAAGCTTTGTTGACATTAAGTCTCACTCCTAGAGGCTCTGACGGGTTTTTTACGCCAATTTAAGACTTCATAAAACCAAAACAAACAGCGGCCATGACATGATATCCAGCCAGGCAAAGTCCTCAAATTGTCTTATCGACCGAAAAAAAACGATTAACTAAAAGCCCGGTGCGTTTCTGAGGAGGCACACCACCAGCAGAGTCATATGGAGAGAGAGAGAGAGAGAAAGGTCTTACCATGTTTACACTGCTTCTGCTGCCTTCCCAGCTGTTTCGTGAATAACCGAGTCAAAAGCAGCCCGCTGCAATGAAGCCTTTCATGAATGAAGCCTTTCAGAACTCCTCCGCCTCTGTGAGGTAAACCTGTCCCCTCCTCAGATCTCCACCGCCTAATTAATGTGTGGCAAGCTAAAATAAGAAACTTTCTGAGCTAACCCCTGCAGACTAACAGAGATGCCATAGAATTTTTTTTTCCCAGGGTAAGAAAAGCTGACATGCAGGCGGAATCTGCCCGGGCCAGGTAACACACCCTGAGGCTCACAGGACTGTGACACAGCAAGCAAGCTCTGGCGGTGTGTTGTGCAACTGTGTAGCCTATTTGGTAGGGACACAAACAAAGGCATTTACAGGTGTACACTGTAACCTATGGACTGCCTCACTCCAGGTAGATAAAGTTTAGTATTTGTTGACACATGTTAATAATCTTCGGAGGGGTTTCTGTCTGTTGTGGAGGTTTTTTTTTTTTTTTCTCTGTTGATCACTTTATCCTTCATTAAAGATTTGTTTACTCTCAGTAAGCGTAAGAAGAAGAAAAAATCAAATTCAATTTAATTCAAACAACTTTATTAATCCCTCTTGGGGCAATTGGTGTGGAGCATGAGAAAGAAACACAAACAAAGACAAGTTGAGGTACAAGCAACAGATTAGTTAAAAACATAGATAAGACCTCAAAAGGAGACACTGATATTAGACAGACTGATTAAAGGCCAGCCAGACTGGATACAAAATGAAAACACTAGAACGATCAGTCAAATAAAAGATCTGTGGCTCCAAAAGATAAAAACGTTAACCTAAGGAGCATTTAGTAATCTAAATGAATTAAGATAAAAGTTAAAGGGGAGCTAAACATAAATAAATAGAGCAAATGGGCTGCCAGCTAAAAATGAACACCATGTCAATAGGGGCAAGTAGCCTACAGTCACAGTGCAAACAGTGTTTTAATGAAAGGTATTGCACAAGTAAAAAGGTATTGCAAGAATTTAGAGGTGTCAGCCTTGTAAGGGTGGAGGGAGAAATGTCCCTATGCATTCACACATTACACCTTCATTCATTTACATTTCCTTTCCGGCCCAAATCCCACTTCGACTAACCTGTTACTCACACACAGAAACAGTCTGAATTATAAACACACTGGCTCTGGCTCTGCATTCTCAAACACATGCTAATACATCCTCCCTCTCTGTCTCTTTCTCTGTGTCTCCCCCATCATTTATTAATCACCCACAGAAACTGAAACCCGTCTCATTCTCCGCCCGATGAAAAATTTACACTTTTGCCTTTCTTCTCTCAGAGCGAAGCACATTGGGACCGAACAAATTGTTCATAAGCTTGTATATAAGTGATATACTTGTATACTTTTAGTGACAGAAAAACATTTGAGATACAAGTATTAGTGTGTTCAACTGTTTGGAGGTAACGTGGAAATGATGCCACTTATAACAATTATCACAGGGGAGTGGAAGTCTTGTTTTTCTGGTTTGGTGATGATGTTAAGAAAACAGTTTGTGTAAAAACTGCAAACACACACAAAAAGCAGAGAGAAAACACAATTTAACGTCCTCTTGCTCTACTTAGTGACCTGGATTTGAGGATTTGCTTCAGAGCTTGTCATACATTGACAATGCAATTTATACGAGGCATTCGTCACACATACAGAGCAACATCGATTGACAGCATTCACAACATGTAGCCCAACAAGATGTTCAAAGTGTTCACTGGCTTTACAATATAAAACAATGTGACGCTGTTCTCTTTTTTTTTTTCCTTCAACACTTGTTTTTCTGTATCATTGTGTTCATATAGTTTCACACACGATCATCAAACAAGCTCACCTGGCAGCAGCTCCATCAAAGCAGCCACCCTTTGTTACACTTTGCAGAGACACTGGAGGTATGTGTAAACAGCTGCTTTCTTGTGGTCAAGGGAGACAGAAAGAGTTAGTCATCTCTGTATCCATCCAGATTGATACTGCATGGCATAAGAAATAAAACGGTACGCTGCTGGGGCCACAATAAGAATCCTTTGAAGTCAGAAAGAAGATACATTTTAGACATTATTCTATCATAGGAAGGCCTTTAAGTGCATTTGTTTTCTGGCATGAATACTATTTTTCTTTTGTTACTTCTGGCTGCCTATAGTTGAAAAAAGACTTATTTGTGAAAAGTGTAACTGATAAGATATGTGCTCATTAGTGCTACGATTAAAAGACACATGGACATGTTTAGACTTGTTTGACTGGGGTCGCCCAACTGCATCACTTGTGCATCGTCCTGAGTGAAGTTCATCCCCTATGGGACGAGGCCTGGTGGTGTCCACTTCAAGACAACTCTTGCGACCTGGGCATCTCAGACGTTTGTATACAATTTCCTTGATCGTGCTCTTGCTCCCTGTTTCTCTTTGAAGAGATGGAGGTTGGATATTTTGTTTGGCCATAATATCTGGCAGATTGGCATCTGTCGTGAAAAGCTTCCACTCTACTCCCTTCACTTTTCGCCAGCTCTCTTCACCATACAGTATGAACAGACTTGGCATTGCTGTTATATAAGAGCATCTTAGTTTTCAGGCAATATTTCTTGGAAAGTCAGATGAGGTGGCATTGGGAGAAGGCAATCTGAGCCTTGTCTAGTTTTGATGTCTTTTTGGACCCAACTGTCATTGCTGATGAGGCTTCCTAGACGAACAGCCAGCATCCTGACTTGCCAGGATGAGGGGTTAAGCGTAAAAAAATATAGCTTCAACTAAAACAAGATAAAATGACTCTTTGTGGCATAAAAATGACACACACACACACGTGATTAAGACTTTGAAATAATTTTATTGAAATCCAGTAATTTTAAAGATTTTTTTGTGGGGGCTTTTTTTCCTTTATTCGATAGGACAGTGGGTAGAGTAGGAAACCAAGGAGAGAGAGTGGGGAATGATATGTGAGAAAGGAGCCACAGGCCTAAATTGAACCCCGGCCGCTGCTTGGAGAACTACAGCCTCCGTACATGGTGCGCGACCTAACAATTTGCCCTATGCCCTTTTGCGACCCAGAAATCAAGTCATTTTGATTATGTTGGTGACCTCTAGCCTTAGATATAATTGGCACTTTAACCGGAACGTCTAAAAAACAGTGTATGACTTTGAATAAGAATGACTTAGTTTGCCTCTGTTATATTGACATATTTTATATGACATATAAAAAAAGAAAGGAAAACATTAATGATGCAGTTAACTTCAATGGTTTCCTAGAAACAGGACATATGTTCCCTTAAAGGTATCATATTGAATTCAATTCATCTGTATATCACATTTCATACAAATGTAAACTCAGTGGAGAGGAAATCAATAAACAAACACAAAAATAACATTAAAAATGAACAAATAGATTCATGAGCACATTTAAAATCCAAAACAAATTCATAAAATGACCCTGCACCAACCCATACAACACATACATCTACATACTCCAACCATACACATGTACACGCGCACACACACACACACACACACACACACACACACACACACACACACACACACAAACAAATTAACAGCCAACGGTACACTCTAAGAAATTGCTGTAAATTGGGATTTGGGGAAAAAGAAGTTGAAAGCACATGGTTGAAAGGACAGTGGAGTTGGCTTTGCCCGATTGTCATCCATCTCCATCCTGACAATTAAGAGGTGAGTGCCTTACTGCTTTGCTAGTTAGAATTGGCAAAAACCATCACTTACTAAGTTTGAAGTCATTTGTGGGATTAATGTTAGCTAGATTTGGAAATTACACAGAAACACTGCAGGCAGACACACACACAGTGAGTGAATTCTTTGCCAACTAACATTAGCTTGAAATACAGATCTTAACAGTTGCTAAATGGGACAAAAAACAAAACATTTTCTTGTAATGTGGTTAACTAAGTGGGCTATAATGACTTGACTTGCTTGCCTGGTTGTACTAGAATGGTAAGGTTAGCTAACATCAACAAGCTAACATTTCTTTGTTGACTATTGATTTAAATATTGAATTAGAAATGATGATTAGCTGGGCTTACTAGGCAATATGGCCATAGTATAAATAGTATAATATACACTATTTGAAAATGTATAAAAGGAAACTTTAGTGAGACTGTCAGAATGGACCTGGAGCATGTTTTTAGTTTTTTACTATTTTAACACAAAGCTGCTGCTATACATCCTGAATTCATGTACTTAAAGCAATTCTAGGAATTATTTTTATTCATACTAGTTTTACTTCATACTTTTACTGTACTTCTTTGTATATGGAGAATATTCAGAAAGGATTGTCCATATGATAATGTTCACTGTTCAGCTGGAGCTGCTTTTGTTCTAATGTTGTTTTCTCCCTTTACAGAATCCTTGTTATGTGGCAGTTTCAGTCTGGAAGGAGAAATCATTTCCCTCAGAGGACAGGTTGTTTATTCAGTTATTAAACTATAACAGATTCTTTATTAACCTCTCTGTTTAAAATGTATCCACCAAAACTCTTTTATGCACTATACATTGGAAATGGCCTTTACTAAATGTCTTAATGTAAATATTTGTGCTAGATCTTTTGCCTATTTAACCTTCATGTTCTTAAAGTGCATTTTCTTTGTTTTTGTTACAGTTTCTATAAAGACAGATGTGGTTTGAGAAGACAGTTTGAAGTTTTATCATTTGTCTTAACATTTTAAGTTGCAATTTTAAAGGCACTGTTTATTTATTATTTTAAAACATGGTGTTTTATAACCTGACATGCAAGGAATCATTTATCAAATCACTAGGTTTAGAAAATAAATATATTGTGTCCATTTTGGTAGAAGGAAATTAATCTATTGCTAGGTGTAGTATTTACAATTCACAGTAAAAATCTGCAAATAAACAGTATCAAACAGTTAATAAGACAGTATTTTCCTGTTAAGGTTTAAAATCACAGCTTTTTGCTGTATTTACAAAAACGGTAGAAAACTGTAAATTTAAGCAACAGTAATATACCGTTAATTTTACAGTAACTTCCTGGCAACCCTACTGCCAGTTGTTTACCGTTTTTTAACAGGGGGAATTTCTAAGAGTGTATGAGAGAAAGGCAATGTTTTAGGACTTCTCTTGAAGGAAATAAAAGTTTCTTCTGACCTTAGATCAGCATGCTATTTGTTACTAAGTTTGGACTTAAGGATCTGAGGAATCTGACTGGGCTGTAGTCAGTGAGCAGTTCAGAAAGATATTGAAGTGGCTTACCATTTAGAGCTTTGTATGCGCGAAGTAACACTTCAAATTCAATTCTGTTCTGGACTGGAAGCCAATGAAGATTTTTCAGAATATGTGTAATAGGTTCTATTTTCTTTGTCAGTGTTAGCACTCTGGTGCGGTGTTTTGGATGATGGAGTTTGTTTATTGGTTTTTTAGAAAGTCAAGCATTGGGAGAATCACAGAAATCCAATCTGCTGGATAAAATTGCATGGACCGGTTTTTTAGAGTCGGATTGGTACATGAAGCACCCTAGTCTGGAAATATTCGTAATGATTGAGGGCTGTCTTTGTAATAGTTGTTATCTGGTTCAGGACGTTTAGATCTGTATCAATTATGACCCCCAGGTCTTTCACTTGCTCACTGTGCTGAAGAGGAAAAGATGATGACATTGATATGAGCCCCTGCCTTTGTGGTCCTACAATCAGAATTTCTGTGTTATCATATCTGTTAAGTTGTAGAAAATGTTGAGACATGTATCTGACCAGTTCATTCAAGGCTCAAGCTTATCTGGGGAAAGTGAAATATATCGCTGAGTATTATTGCCATACGAATGATAGGAGATATTGTGTTTCTGTACGGTACCAAGAAGGAGCATGTAAAGACTAAGTAATAGTGGACCGAAAACTGAACCTTGTGGCACCCCACAGTGAATGCTGAAATCATCGGATGTAAAGTTGCCAAGTAAAACTCAGGATGTTCTGTCCTTTAAGTATGAGGAGAACCATTGAAGAACAGGTCATAAAAGGCCAATGTAACTTTCCAGTCCGTTTAGCAGAATTTTATGATCAACTTTTCAAAGGCGGAATTCAGGTCTAACCTTGCTATTTTTATCTTGCTATACCGTCATTTTTTAAAACTTTATTCTTCCTTTTGTTATAGCTGCTATTGTATATTTGCTACTTCTTGATATTTTATCGTATTGTTATCATGGGCAAATTAACCTTTTTTCACTATTTATGTTGTGCAATATGTACTTAAAGAGGAGGGTGCAATATTACAGGGCAGGTTCAACATTTGGTAGTCCGTGTAACTTTCTCGTCATTTTGAATGGGACATCTTACTCGTGTCAGTGTAGACTGCCCTGTTTTTACTCTGTAAACTTTGGTACAAATAGACTGAGGAGGGTTAGGTAATTAGCGATCAGGAATGTTGGAGAGGGGTCTTTAGTTGCTAATTATTGATGGGTCAAAGTTGTTGTTTTTTAGTAACGGGGTAAAAATAGCATGCTGTAGAGAAGTGGGGTGAACACTAAAGAGAAGCATATATAACATAAAGTAGATCATGTAGTAACAGGCCATATGCCATATCATGGTAAAATACACTTGGACCTCTCAAAATATGCTGATCCTCTTGTTTTCTTGTAACTATAATCACCATTTGACTGACATAGTTTGTTTAACACCAACTGGATCCCAGAATTTTCCGCTGTAACAAACTGTCAGTGTTTTCTCTTTCTCCCCCCTCCTCCTCTGCCTCTCAGTTGCTCCCCTACTGCTCCTCAATTGTTTAGGCGTTACTGCAGCTCACCAACTGTCAACCACGATGCCTGCTGAGACCGCCCGGGGGCATTTAGGCGAAAGAACAAATGGCAGACTTGATTTTACTTCACTGCCCCACCCACTGGTTGTATATCCTTACTGCACCATTGGAAGTCAGGCTGTAAAACATCAGGGTTAAACTGCTGAGGCATGAGAAGCAAACAGCAAGTCATTCCTGAATGTTTAACAAGAAAGGCCGATCAGGAACTGGACAGACTGTGTGCATGCATTTATTTATCTATAAATTTGCCGTCCATACAAATGGCCTATCACTGTTGTTGTGTTTGTATGGTACAGTGGACACAGTTGACTGAACCCTCATTCCAAGGATAAACAAGAACTTGACTCACCCCTGCTCCGTCCTTCTCACATCACCTCAGCAACCATCTCCAATCATGTGTAAACACATGTTTGGCAGTCTTCATTCAGAAACACAGGATTGAGAATTATCATGTGGAGAAAACAAAGCTTCTTTCGTTTGGTTTGAGCAGTGACTAATTGTTAAAAAAAAAAGAAATCCTTGACACACTTTGACAGCCCAATTATTCAGACAGTCCACAATAATGAACTGCAGTCTAACATTACATAACCTCAGATATTCAGACACTCACTTTCACTGTCTGCCCACACACACACACACACACACACACACACACACACACACACACACACACACACACACACACACACTGTTAACTGTTTGAACCCTGCTTCCACTAATTTAGATCTAAGGCACCCCAACCATGCTCTGAACTTTTGGTTACAGTTTGGTGATAACACACTGGGGGCAGGAGTGGAACTGAACAACACATCAAAGCATTCACACATCCCAACTTTTTAAAAATTTACTAAGACTGTGTAGATTTGGAATATCATTTATAAACTGTCTTACTTAAAATAACATTGCCTTGGTTTTTTTTTATCATTTCTTATCATCGGTATACATATTAACCCTCTTGAAACCATTAGCCATTATTTCTGGCCAGATAATTTGAAGCAAAGTGCTATTAATGATTAAGGATTTTAACATTGTGTTTAGATGAGTATTAGCATCTAGAGTTAATATTGCCTCTCATCTTGAATCCGTAATTCTCAAACATAAATATCAGATATGAAGTGGCACAATGCTAATGTTAGCTGTGTTCTGAGTGTAGCTAATAGGTCATCGAATATGTTCACTCCAAATGTGACCCAATGTCTCTGCCGATTATCAATATCTATAATCTTTGTATAGTTTCTTATCAATAAGTCACTTCCGATACGCTAGGGGCTTACGTCACGCCTCTGCCTTTGTCCAGCCAAGGGCTGCAGCTGGAAAGTGTTAGACAGTGAAGTAACCATGACAGAAGAGAAAGGGGGTGAAGAAACTACCTATTCCCAGCAACATGCTAGCAGTTATAAACAGTCCATCAGAAAACAGTTACAGCTCGTTTTAAAAGGTAATCATTTACACATTTAACGAAAAGTGGAATATCTCCCTAAAGTTGACCATTTCTACTGGAAACAGTACTCTTTGAAAATTAATTTAGGGAACTACCTTATCACATAAGGTAGTAGCCCGGCCCCAGCTGCCTGCTTTCTTACAATGCTTGCAAATGAAAGAGGACAGGTGTTGAACATTTATGGTGAACATTTATTTTGTCTGATGTATCAGGAGAAAATAATTAATGGGCTGTCTGTCAAAGTCTGAAAAAAAAGGATGATTTGTTGGAGTCACTTCCGTGGCAATGTTAATTGACTCTCTGTTATTCCCCTCACATCCCTGCAGCAGCTAAATGTACGAAGCTGGGGCATTTACTCAGAATGGAGCGTAATAGCTCCCAATGTTCCTTTGCATAATCATCACTTGATGCGACTTTAAGTAATTCAATTTGTTTGACTGTGAGGGTGATTTCCCCATGAATATAGACACAAACAGCACAGCATTGCTCAGGAGATGTTAATGTATGCCTTTGGATTGTGCTTTTCTTTCAAGTAACTTTCATCATTTGATTAACATTTCATATCAGTACAAATATTTACCCACTAATCAGTATATCGGAAAAAACTGCATTCATATTTTCCCCCAACTGTTGACATCAGCCCACCATGTAAGATATTTGTATGAAAATATTCCAAGGGAAGCAATGCCACAAATTCAGCAGTTTTTGGCTCATCCATGGCTTCATTTTTCTGGCTTCATGTCTCCACCCCAGAGGTTGCAGCTTGCATTTAACTCAAAATCAGGCCAAAACTGAGCAACATTTATCAGCGATGTACCGACCAACTGACAAGCCTGAGTACAACAATAAAGCACATTTTAGCAAGGACATCTTAATTTAACCATGACTGTCCTGTTTTCAAGCTCTGTGGCCTGAGTCCCCACAAAAATCTATAAAACACTATAAATTCCCCAGTTTTTGAACAGTCCCTGTCCCACTTTTGATCAACCAAAACGATATGTAGGCATATACATATACTCATACACCACCAGTGAAAGTTCAATACTGATTTGTCTGTAAATGTGTCAATCTTGGGGTTGCTTAGCTTGCTTCGTTTATCATCCTAATAGAACCTGCTGAGTAACGACAGGTATGCTGGCTGTCGTGCTGAAAAGGATGTCAGAATTTTCCAAAGAACTCCAGGAACTTCCGACAAAAATTACCAGTCAGGAATATGTTGGATTTTGTAGTGGTGTCTAAAGAAGTGGGTTTACTGTTCTCTTCATTTTTCCTGCAAATGTTTTACAGTGGCCCCTCCAGCAGAGAAAAAGGGCCTCTGTTATAAACAGTGACATGTAAGACTACTCTTGCATATTAAGTTTGTTAACTAGCCAGTTAGAGACAGATTAGGGAGGGTCATCCCTTCACCATTCTAGGAAAATAATTGTAGCATACTACTGAATATTTTCAATCAATTATTGGTGTGATTCAGAGGGGATTTGGAAGTGGGTATACCCCCATGGAGACTGAAAAATAAGTGAGTCTATTCCGTATACCTGCGTATACCCTGCATTACACCACTGACTGCAAGAGTTCATTTTCAGTCACTCACGGTGGAAATGCTGACATACAAAGCCATAGTAAAATGAGCAAACACAAATGGTGGGTACAGGCTGGAAGTATCTCTGTTGTGATCAAATTCAGTGAGGCAATCGCCACTGACAACCAACATAAATGGGCTGCTTAGGATGGCACCTTTGCAGGTTACCCATCTGTGGATCATTACATGTGGCTTTGCGATAGAATATCTGTGTCCTGATTTAGAGATTTGAAGAAAGGTCACCCTAAGTTACACAAATCAATTTGATATAATGTTGAAATCTTGACAAGAGCCCCTTCTAAATCATGTTAATTGGTAGCTTAAACATGCCATAAACCTGACTGTGATCTCTTCTTTTAACCTCTGTGATGTTAAATAATGGGACACAAGACATTTTCTATCTTATTGAGGTTTATTTGGACAAAAAGATCACTTCTAATCTAAGAGACAGAATTATAGTATCAAATTGTCATCTCACATTACCTGTCCTGTAACAGTCTGCTTGATTTTCTGCTACTACTTACACGGTTAAAGTACACCTCTAATGAAACACAAATTCTAAATCACCATATTCATTCAGCAGCATTTTTCCTCTGACATCACTCTCAGGGTGGGAAGCTCACCTTCTGTAGCTCTGCTTTTTTTCAGGTTTTTCTTTAAAATATCATATAAACATAGATAATCTTAAAAAAAACTTTGAACAGGAACTGAAAAGACTATTGAAAGTGAAAATCCAGAGAAACCTATTTCAACATCTCAAGGTATATCGTCATAATTGACAGTCTGTTAGCTAGACAACAGCTCACATTAAGCCACTTTCTAGTTAACATTACTGTTTGATTGTGTAACATTGCCTCGTAGCTTGGTGTGATTTTTTTGCTAAAGGTTATGTTAGCCGGGAACTTACACCTCTCCTGTTATCTTTCTCGCAAGCAAACTTGTAAGAATTGCCAACCTTAACAAGCTAACGCTGCAGCAGCTAATGGTAATGTTAGCGAATGAAATGCACCTTTTGTAACTCATCATGGAACACAAGGCATAACAGTAATAGTTTTTGAATGCTACAATGCCCAGCTTTTGCTAGCTAGTTTATGGGATATCAAATATGTTGTTTACACTTGAAGTATGCCGACTATCTCTGGATTTAAAAAAAGAGTCACAGTTTCATATGGAAGGAGTGAAATGATGACTAAGCAATTTATCAGATTCCTTTCATGTATACAACTTACAACCTGGAATACATAAAAGTCGGACCTGCCCACTTTGAGGTTCAAAGAACAATGGCAGCTGTGTGAATTCAATTCAGAACAATTAAATATTTATACTGAATTCCAAAATATTGGATTTCAGGAATTCTACAAGAAATAAGAGCCATTAATAGCAGAATGAACTGTGGATAACTATCTCTTCCTGCGGACTTAATTTACTCTCATTTCTGTGTGAAAAACCAACTTATCACGAGTACAGCGCCATTAAGTTCCGGAGCCTCAAAATAACGACTGCAATTTTCAGAGCAATTTTCTTTCTCCTTCATCTTAAACTGGGAGTTGAGCTTATTATGTAATTGTATGTCATCTTTTGCTGTCTTGTTTAAAAAAAAAAAGGCTTTGTAGGTTTGACGTACAGGACAAAAGAAGATGATGAATACTTTTTCCCTGTAAAGTCACAAATGACCCTGTGAAAAAAAGGAAAGAAAAATAACAGTACCACTACATCCATGACTGTGATGTATATCGGCTTTAGTGGATGTCACAATGAGTGTCCTGGGAGTGAGCCTGACGCTCCAGTATGACAGACGGCTCATACAGTAGATCCTCTTCTCCAAGATTTGAACTCTGCTCCAAGTTCACAAAGTTAGGGATGTTGAAGTGAGAAAACAAGTCATTTTCTCTTTCAGCCTTATTTTCCTCTATTAGTCCATTTAGAGGTTGGTGTCTCCCAGCTTCCTCGACATCCTCCTCCATCTCGCCCATCCCAGAAGATCTGATACCTCTGGGCCGGTTGAAAGACTCCTGCTGCTTAACAGCTGTCTTTTCTTCTGGTTTCAGCTTCCTCTGGCCCCGATCCTCCTCATTAATGTAGAAATGAAAATAAGAGCGGGACTCCGATAACAACGGGCGAGAGAAGGCTTTGTCATTTTCGTCCTGGGGGCCATCGATGTCTACGAGGCAGCTCCCTGGTCGATGGCGCTTTTCAGCAGAGTCTGGGTTTCTGTTAGGAAAGAAAGAAAAATGTGAGAAAATGCTTTGGAAACATAAACAGCTTCACATTTTCAGTCTGACTATATATATGGGATTTCTCATCAACTCCCACTGCCGACCCCTCTTTAAAATGGAAATATCACTTTTGCCATATAAGCTATAACTTCCAAATCAAATATACGATCTTCACAAACGCCATAACCCTTAATCCTAGAAGAACAACCCTTTTTACCTCATTAAAATGTCTTATAAATAAGCCGGAACAGCTAAAGCATCAATGAAACAATCAGACATGAAAGCTACTCCAGCTCTGAGATAAGAGGCGCTGAGAGCTGAACAGACTGAGCTCTCCCTGGTTGTCCTTGTAGATGTGATGGTGAAAGATAATTGGGCTAAAGCTTTTTAACACTCACTCTTGGTGGGGCGCCCCTGTCTTTGTGAGCAGCGTCAGAACAAAGAACATGAAAATGACGAACACAGCAAGTCCAACCCAGAAGCCGATGACGATAGAGTCTGAAATGTGAGAGAAGACACAGAGGCTTATTGGAGTGCATCGAACCATAAATATATTTGTATTCATCACTTGTGATTTACTTTCTCTCAGGGGCCCAGAGAGCCTCGATAATTCAATGAAACGAGCATTCAGTAGTCTAGGATATTGGATTACAGCTGACAACGTGTCTGTATGCTTGCTGATGATTAATTGGCTTCTCATTATCAGAGGAGTATCCTTTGACGGTAGAGGTTGTGCATGAATTATTGCAGCCAGATAATTCATCACCTTCACCTTTTTTATGAGATTATGGGGGCACGTGCCAGCCCACAACTGAAGCAATAGGCTACAAAAACCTAACAGAGAAATAGGTCAGGAGACATGAATTAGGCTATTAACAGTTCAAAGGTGAGTAACCCTGACACTAACGAATAACCTAATGCACGCACACTCACGTGCGTCAAAAGGCGCACACGCACACGCACACTTGACAAGTTGAAGTCGATTGTAGATGTATGATATGGCTCACATCTGTGCGCTTTGAGTCCCTCAAAAGACACGGGCTCCTCGTCGTCGTAATACTCGTACTGCCACACGTAGTCACTGCGACGTGCGCTCGTTTGGCTCCGGTTGTGGAAGGCAGACATTTCCCACCGATTTTTTTTTTTACTTCCTACACAACAGAAAACAAGGACAAATCAGCCCAACAGACGCTTAAAAAAAAATAATCATAAAGTTACTCTATGGTTATCTCTGAAGTTAGCAAAACACAACCTCCAGGGGCGTGAAACCTTTCTGTGATGATGTTATCCGCCGCCTGGGAATTTGGAAATTACGCAAAACAACTCCTAGATGTTATCTCCGTTTTGGGAATAAAAAAAAAACGTGACAGAAAAAGGTGACGAAGCGCAGGGAAATCCATCGCTTTACCGTTCAGCAAAAACTCGATCCATCCTCGTGTTGTGAAAGCAAAGCAGGAACCTTGTAGGGAGCAGATCAGTGCGCATCACCTCCATCCAGCTTCCCCCATAAACTGACGGCTCTCTCACTGACAGTACAAACACTGGTCCAAAAATAAATAAATAAAAACGCTCGCCTCATTCTGCCTCGGAGCTGGAGGCTGAGACTGGAATGTATTAGAGGCTGTTGAAACCACATATGCTTAACTTTACACCAATGATTAGAATAAAAAAAAAAATCTTGTGGTCTTCTGATGTTAAAAAGGAACACTTTCTCAAGTGCATGTTCACATAACAAACTCAGGACATTTAAGAATCATTAATCATTTTTCAACCTTATACCAATCACATTCAGTCTGAGGGGATGCCCACTTCTGTCAACCCCTCCACTTTTAAATCCAGAATACATATGAATTCTATAAATCATGGATGATGAAGTTTTACAATGGCTTGACAATGCTCTTCATTTGAGGAGACATTTCATTTATGGCCAGTGTGCAGACTCAGATTAGGAACTAAGAAGACACAACTGAGATGATGTCGGGCTGCAAGATGTGAAATTATCATCATTTACACATTTAGTACAGTACTTGACTCAGAGTACGTTGGACATTATACCCTGGAGAATGAATTGTAAACATAATTGTGAACATGATATAATAGGGCACTATTTTAGATGTGATCACAACACCAATGCATACAAATGAAACCCCAATATAGCCATTTTCAAATTTTGACACTTCCCTGATGGCTATTAAATCCCCAAAAATATTTTTATTTTTCTATCAATTTTACCAAAAGTATGCCAGTGCCTTTAGAAAACATCGGCCAATTTACTTGAAAATGGTTCACTGTAAATGTTCTTGATGGTTTAGTAATTAGTTTTTTTTTTTGTGCATCCAAATATTCTAACCATTAGCCATTTCATTGGAGTGAGCAGTTATTAAAAGGCTGTAAACAATGCAACCTTGACCAATGATTTAAAAATAGTTTGTAAAATGACGTGGATGTCTGATTCAGGCTGACAAGATGTATTAAGACTCATAAGAGCACATCACCATGCCTTCTTCTCATCCTTTGATCAGTCTTCATTGAGTCACAGGCTCCATTAGTTATATTGCCATACTGGATTTCTGAAGTACCTCTAGAACACAGCCCCCACAGGCGTCCATTCACTTACTGATACTTCATCAAATTATTTTTCATCATCCTTGAAGTAACATTTACTGGAGCAACTAATGTGCCTACGATGCACTATCATCCTTCTTGTGCTTTGAGTGTCCTTTAAATACTCTACACTGTTACAATTATTAAGTACATAGACCGTAGGGGAGAAATAAAAATATTGCCTTTAACACATTTATTGTTGCTCAGTTTGTATTTTGGTTTAACTCCCATGTCTGCAAAATGTAGCTGCAAAGTGCCTGGATTTGACAAGTTTAGGCTACACAACATATTATAGACCAGGACTCGATTATTGTTCCTTCAACGTGGGTTTAAACTCAGCCCTGTTCAAGAGCTTTAAATTTAAAGCCACTATTTGTTGGATTTCTCCTCACCTCCTTTTGGCACCATCTGGTGGTGGTAGCAAGAATGGCTCAATGGCAGACCAGTCCTGTTGTACTGCGAGACATGCCCAACTCTGGATCACACTCAAGGATGATTTGAATGCTCTATAAGAGCAATTTCACATGATTTCCAAACATATGCATCGAAGGTTTGGGCAAGATGTCTGTTACATCGAACAGTTAAAGGTTAGCCAGCTAAAACTTGGTGCAGTTAAGGGTGACATATTGTTCTGCTAAAAACTCAAAATAACAGTGAAACTGTTTAATTCCAGCACAGAACACCAGACTTCAGTGTTGAATCTGAATGAGTAACAAATCTGGAGCTGGTTCTCTACAATCATTCTTTGCGCTCATAGACATACATAGACTTCCAGCTTTAGTCGGAGCTGTGCAGATGGTACCTTATCTGATCCAACCTGGAAACACAGAATACATACATTGATAGAAGGAAATAGACTCAGAGGTTTTTACTTGTATTTTTCTGCAAGTTTGTGTGCTGCCAGAATCTTGGGAAAGATTTTAATTGTGTACAAAGCCTTCACACTAAATAAACTCAAATCAAAGTAGCTACTTCACATTTAAGCATTAACACTTAAAACAATAATGCTGTCTGATGATCCTTATGAAGCCTGTCTGTTGGCCCTGGATTAGAGACAGTCTTTCTGCTTTCAGAAAAGTGATGATTTCTCACATCCAAATTGGTTCTTTTGGATTAATAACTACCTTCACCATTATGAACAAATACCTCTAAAGCGCCATTAGTGTTTCAATCAGTCCTTGTTTTTTGTCTGAAGATTACATCATCCCCTCTTTCTGGATAATCCGCTGAATGAATGATCAAATTAAGCTGTACAGTGCTGCAGAAATAACCCTAAAGGAGGTCTTCTCTGGAGTGGATATTGCCCTTAAGGCACAGACCTTCACAAAACTTGGACCGACTATGATATAAGAGGATGAATCATAAATGTCACACAGCATTATATAAACCCTGTAAATATCAGCACTAGATAGCATTCATTTCCTGAATTTATTTACTTGCCTGCTTACATTTTTATGCTGGAAGGGTTGAAAAGGCAGCATCAAAGCTTGCTGTTCAGGATTAAAGCCTCATATTCCTCTGCAGATCAATAATGCATATTTAAATGAAAGCAACCGGTCTTCTAAAATCTGTCCCACCCTTATTGCTTCTGGCTGTTGAGCTCTCGGTTATATTGCTTTGTTCTTCTTTTGCTGCCGGTTTCATGGAGGAGAGCACAAAGGTTTTGATGAAAAGAAACATGTTTAATGGTAGCTAACGGTAGCACAACTTTTAAAGTACAGTTCTTGTTCTAAGGAGTAAAACCCTTCTCGCATCAACACTATAGCTGAATGCTGTTTTTCCTGTGCTCCTCTAAAGTTGAAAGTTTAAGTGGATGTACGAACATCTTCATAGAGTATTCTACAAAGGGTTGATGTTTCTGAACTATTATATTCTCACAATAGTACACAATAGTCACCATTAATAGTAAAACAAGTGTGTGTTCGTCATTCATTTAAAAATCGCAATACTTGCTCAGCATGGCGTTAGCATGATGCATATGGGTTAGTAGGCCTACAGCAGGTGAAGTTAGCGTGTTAGCATTAGCATGCTACTAATCTGTACAGTAATAATCGTAAATCATCCAAAAGTTAATATTATGCGCAAAAAACAATTTAACGATTTATCTCTCTACTCCAGGGGTATTTTTTTGTGAAGTGAAGGGTCAAGCTTAATTTGTTTCCCTCCGACAATAAGCGGCAGATCTTCTTCAAAACCATTGACAGTTATCTCGATTGAAATTTGCCATTTAAATGTTATTTAACATTTTAAAACATTGTACTGCATATAATGCTCTGATTTTGTGTCCTAATTTTAAAAACCCATGAGCACTTGTTAAAAGTGTGCTTTTCGCTTCACTTGTACTAATTTAGCTTCAAAACAGGATGAAGGATAGTTTCAATTTCATTGTCAACAGCAGGTTTCACTGTAGTTTTTTTTAAGAATTCATTGATGATTTGAACAAACCTCTGAGTAAAAATCCATCGGGACAGCCATCCTCTATCATTAAAATGTTAAAGCCTGCAGATCCGTCGTGCATGTAAATGACCTGACCACAGCGTACAGTGCTCTCTGACTCACCACTGCAGCTGCTGCAGGTTTAGGAGGCATCTTTCGATCGACAGTAGCACTATTGAACATGACGTCTACTGGTGATCCTCACTACACTGTGTGTGTTCTTTCTGCTATCGACCAGTACATTATTTACGATCACTTCACAAATTTAACTTTTAACATTCTGCTCATAAATCTGCAGCTGTAGAACAAAAACCACCTCCTGAGGTCTCCCACTGCACTGGATTTTGTGAACTTTGTAGCAGAAACTTTTGAGACTGATAAAAGCAAAAAAGATAACATGAAATATTCAAGCTGCAGATTTTGCATCTGAAATGATGCTACGTGCTGTGTATAATTCTAAAGATCCCCAATTGCTCAACATCAGGCCTTTGTTGTGGGGAACTCTTTATGTTTATTGCCCTGAGATCCTTTCTTTTTCTGTCTTTCTCATAGACTAAATATAAAAAGCCACTCATCGACTCACTCACGGCAAATATTAACCATATTCAAACTTTTCTTTGGATGTCAATCTCAAGTATGGTGCAGCTATTTTATCTTGAAACTTGGCTGAATGTGTTAGTCAAAAAACCATGACAACAAAGAGTCCAGACCAGGACTCGCTCCTCTGCGCTTCCTTTATTGCAGTTTCCTCAGCTACTATTACTATAATCATACATTAGAGACTGTCTGTCAACCGTCCCAGACACCTAAATCTCTATTATTAAATGATCTGAAATCAGATAATAGTATCGATTGCAATGTTTAACTGAAACCTGTCTGTGTCAGGACGAATACATTTATTTAAAGGAATCCACTCCTCCAAGTAATTTTCATAATCATACACCTCGAGACACTGGAGTAGCAGCTATTTTCAACCCTCGACTAAAGCGGAATTCTGATAATATAATATTCCGATTTACTATCCAAATTCTCAGACTTTCTACCAACTATCTCCTTTGGAATAATTATTTTCCAATCAAGGTCTGGGAGGCAGACATACTCTGAATTTCAAGAATAGGCTTAACACTTTTCTTTTTGATAAAGCTTACAGTTAGGGCTGGCCCAGGTATGGACCAGCTCCCAGTTATGCTGCTATGGTGGACCTGACACATCAAGCTCCTGTCCCTCTCTTTCTTTTTCTCTTTGATCAGCACTACTTCACTGAGCAGCATGTGAGTTTCTCAACCCAGAGGAAAACCGGCGTTGTAAATTGCATGTTAATAGCCTAATGTGTCTGATACTGGGTTTAATTCTGAGTTTGGACCTCTGCCTATAATCTTTCCAGTCTCCAAAAGCTTGATTTGAAGAAGTCAGAGATATTGAAGCTTCACAGTTGCACAAACACACACATGCTAAAC